TATTAAGGTGATTTCGGTCAATTGGTAATAATTGAATGAACGATTTAAAGGTTATTGCCCTTAACTTAGTAAAAACACATCAAATTTGGCTTGTAGGCACGATATAAACTAAAGTTTTTATCCGATGTTGATGAAACTTAGTATGCATGTATATATGTTATGAGAGCTCGGTCATGTTCGAAATCGGTAACAATCGGATGAATGGTTTTGGTGTTATTGCCCTTGAATTATTGCGTCTTGATGAAACTTGGTATGAAACTTAGTATGCATGTATATATGGTATGAGATCTCGGTCATGTTCGAAATCGGTAACAATCGGATGAATGGTTTTGGAGTTATTGCCCTTGAATAAATGCGTCTTGATCAAACTTGGTATGAGATCTCAGTAAAGCTTGCAATTAGTAACAATCGAATGATTGGTTTCACATATTAAACCACTACAGACATTGCTATCATTTCTGACAGCTGGTAGAGGGAGTATGTTACCTTGCCTGGCCAGCTATCTTTTCTGTCTAAATGTTTTCCTAATTGCACACTGGTTGTCATTTTCCATCATGATTATCCTGCTTATGTGCAGGACAATATGACATAAAAGTTTTTCAACTGTTTTTAATGTGAATGTGACTTATTTTGAAATTTGAATATGCCTTCTGACTTACTTTGTAAACTTCTCTAAATTGGAATACAGTTTTTGCAGTCAGATAATACATCAAAATAAAAAATATATCTTGTGGTTTTGGTCAGGGTGCTTTGTCACTAAATCAAGACTATGCTGACTTTGCAATGATATTGTACAAATTGTGCATAAATGTGATCTCATATTTCTGTCAATGTGATCTGTTATGTAACCAAGAATACAAAGGCTCCAAGCATGCATTACTTGATGTGTGTGGGCTTTTATTTCAAATGGTTAGAGATACATTTAAATATAGAGCATTGAAGAGTGAAATATCAACTGTACGGTACATAATATTATGATATTTTGTAAGATGAGCTTATCTGGTAACTTTTTTAAATCCACCTTAATCTTGAAGATATCAAGGAACGTATGTATTCAAGTATGAAGGTCAGTTGCAGAAGAGATTATATCATACATTTTACTCTTTTGACAATTTTTTTTAATTCACTGTAAGATATCTTGTTATAGTATATACTGTTTCAATTTTTTGTGCAGCCTAAGATGATCAAACCTTTAGACCAGTGCTTCTTAATCTCAAAGAGATCATTCCTCCCCAAAAGAGGTCTTCCAAACTATTCCCCGCCAAAATATTCAGTTATTTTGAAACATATTTTTCTTGAAAAATTGTATTCATCGCTTATCCATGAATTGATGTAAAATCATACTCTTCATATCGAGATAGTTCAATGTGAACCTTGGGCAAAATGTTTGTTCTAATGCTTCTCAGAATACACCTTTGTTCGCATCACAAAATCCGAGCGCTGAAGAGGGCAGGAATTTGATTGCCTGATTGTGTAATCAAACTGACCCATGTTCAATAAGGCAGTCTTTAGACCCGTACTGATGTGGCTATATATTAGAAATGAAATCTATTAAAAATCTCTTCTACAAGTGATGAGATACAGACAAAAAGGGTAGATCAAAACTGTCATGGAACAAACTTCATTTTAGGTTTATTTTGGTTACAGTGAATAGCAGATTTTAAAAAAAAAAAAAAAAGTTGAATCACCTTCCACTAGGTCAGTTGCACCTTGTTCTGCGTTTTATTTCATGAAGACTCGAAACCTTGAAAACCTCACATAAATTGATTGTTAAACATTTTCATTGTCAATATCTCACATGAATGAGTTTTGTTATTAGGGGAGCTGTTGTTTGTATAGCACAGTTTTATTTCTTTTGTCTTTCTACAAACCATAAAAAAAGGTCAGAAAATGGTCAACATGTCTATCAATATCCTCTCAATATAACCTCTTAATTTACCCTACCTGACCAGACTGGGGGACAAGTTGGCTAGAACTGTTCAAACATTGTTCAATGTACACATGAAATCTTCTGGTAATATCACAGCTGTTTGTGTATTTAGAATTTTACTCCTTCTTCATATGTGACATATTTCTGGAAAAATTGTGTTATCTGCGCAATTTATTTTAGACAACTGTGCAATTAGAACTCAACTTTTTGTGACCCAAGTTAGTCACCTGTAGATTGTCACACTGTTTGTATTCATCTTAAAAGAACTATTTTGGAAATGTTAAGTTTTTCGTGGGGTTTTAAATGGAGAAAACATTTTAGCACAAATTTCATACAATCAACTGCTGAACAAACCAAGATTTAAAAGGTTAGTGGTAGAAGTTGTGGTCATCCCTGTACTATTTTCTCTATGGATTAAAGAAATTTAAATTAACCACAGTTTGAAGCAATTTTTTGATATCAGTGTTCATCTCACTTTACCTTATATTTTGATTAGATTTTTAACTTAAAAGATGTTGTGAAATCATGCGACATCATTTTGAAATCATACATCATTTTGAAATCATACAACATTTTGAAATCATACAACATCATTTTGAAACATTGTAATAAGATAATGAAAATAAATCTTTTATCTATTGTAACTTTAGAATCTTATCTTAATGTCTTGACAAGATGTCAATAGGGCCTTAGTTTAATTTAAATTTTAACCTATTGACCTCTTCTAATTAAATTTTGAAATTTAAATCATGGTCATGTCCAATCTGTGAACATTATGGTCATGTTTGCCTTTAACTGAAATTAGTTGAAATTGAATCTGACAGTTAGATCTTCATTTGAATAGCTGTCTAATAGTTTTAGAATTGTCTCAAAAGGTATGTGTTTTATATTTTTTTGATGGAAATATAAGATGTATTATTTTCAATTTGAATGTCAGGTATTTAAATGTATGTAAATATGTGGTCTTATATTGCAACCCTCATCCTATGGGGATTTCTTTCTGTAAATGTTACAGATCTCTCCACGTAATGACATTACCGTCTCCACTTGCAGAAGAGAAGGGTGTAGAACTCCAATCATTTAATTTTTTCATTTCTATAAAGATTTCTGTGACATGCTTTAGGAGTATTTTACCTATCATGAGTGATACAGATATAATATTTTAAACAGTAGTTTGTATCCTAGTAACACAAATATTTCAGGACTTTTGATGTAATTATTTTTGAACATGATAAAGGATATATTTATGAGTATATTATTATTTATTAGTATAAGGTTTTCTAGTGATAGAAGAAAGTTTCACTGGTGATTTTAATTCATCATATTTTGTTTGTTGGTCTGGACCAATAGATAGGTAATCTTAAAGTTGCCATACATTGACAGTGGTTACCACTAGATTGTTTACGCTATTTGCACAATAATGGTGCATCTACACCATATATTATTACATAAGCATATTTTTTTTTATACATTATCAATCTTGAGCACCTGACAGTGTAAGGGTCTGATGAAAGTTCTAACCTTTTGCCTCAAGCTTTTTTTTCAGAGCTATTGTAAACAATATGTTGGTGACATGGACGTCTTTCGATCAAACATGCTGGATATCTCCTGATCACTACTGATTTTGTTGAAGGGTTGTCATCGTCAAAAATCAGTATGTGTGAGTCAGCCTTTACTGCAATAAAATCTTTTTCTTTATGTTGTGGGAAAAAATATATGTCAATGGAGTTTGCTGATGAAGCTGTGGTCAGGCAAAATCATGACTTGTTGGTGTGGAGCTATGTTCTTATAGAAAATGTCACCAACTTCTGGTTTATTTGAACAGGCCTTTTTATAACTTTTTACTCATCTCCCAGACAAATTTGCACATACGGAAACATTCTTCCCTTAGGTTTTCATTTAGAATTGTACATGACATACTGGTATGCCTATGTTTTCTATTTAGAAAACTGCATGACATGTCAAACATGAGACAGGTCACAATCAACATATTGTTTATTTACAACGCTTTCCGTTTAATGATATCAGTCTTAAAACAGGGGGTAATTTATCAGCCTATTACAAGACATTTCCCTCACGCTATAATGACTTCTGTGATAAAATTAATTTGAATAAGACACGTTTTATATTTAATGGTACTGTAATGTTGTAAATTTGTTTCCTTCTATCAATTTTATATGAAGTCTTGATTTTTTTGTGTAACATTTACTTAAAGTGATACTACATTTTAAAATGAACATAAACTTTAAGTTCTCAAGAATGATCAATATGAGTATATATTCATCAGTGAACTTACCTGATGTCATAAAGTTACAACAGAATCCCTGGAAAATTGGTAAATTCATAAAACTAAGTAATTATTCAAAAACACTTAATCTTATTATATTAGCGATTTTCAATAGTTAATTGCATATTTATGGATAATTGCTAAGTTGTTTGGATTTATCAGATTATATAAGGATCTTGTTATGTTATTTATGACACCAGGTATATCTACTGATGAATATATGCTCTTATCCCTGATCCCTAAAATTCTAAGAATTTCATAGAGGATTAAAATATGAAAAAAAAAATGTTGGGGAGAAGTTAAAGATTATTTCAATAACTAGATATTAAAATATAAATTGTCTGTAATCAGTTGGTAGAAAAACTAAAATTAAACCTCAAATGAAATGACTTCTTCAATGTCAAAAGTACAATATAATATATATTTAATGTTCCTTAAAAGGAAGGCCTCGTGCTAAAACACCTTCTCAATGACAGGTTAAGTCAGTTATATTATAATTTTGAATGGGACGTGGTAGTATTAAAAACATCAAATGTCATTTGTGTTGGAGACACTCATTAGACAACTGTCGAGTCAGTGCACACATTTTACATCAGTAATGTCAATACGTGTATGTTGAACACAGCCACAATATTGTGTACAGACTTCTGCTTTTGATCTTGCAGAATTGATTTGTAAGTTTACTTTTGGCTATAAATTTCAGTGACAATTTTTTAATGGGCTTGTATTTAACCTGTTGTGATGTTTCATATTCTTCATTGTTTCGTTACAGGAGTAGAGGTGATGATCACTCAGTATATATTCCTGAGTCTGATTGTGATTTCAACATGGTTTTATCAGAATATCAACGCCTGTCCTACTGGGTGTCAGTGTACACCTACAGGATGGGGACAGAGAGCGTTCTGTCGCGGAGGCTCTCTTCAAGACATATTGGGATCATTAGATAAAAATATTCATCAACTTCATGCTACCCAGGCAACAAGTATACGTGTTTTACGTAAAGAAGATTTTCAACATTTACAAGGATTTCAACTGACAAAAATATTTCTAACTCAGTGTTCAATTCAAGAAATTCAAGGGAATGTGTTCAGTGATTTGTCTTCTTTATTGGAATTGAGTTTTACAGAAAACAACATCAATATTATTTCAAATGATGCATTCTCAGGATTATCCCATCTGAAAAGACTTGATCTTTCAAAAAATAGGATCAGTAAAATAGGAACAGTCTTTCGTAATTTAAAAAGCCTAGAACATCTGGACCTTGGTTCTAATTTATTAAATAATCTGGAAGCTGGTTCATTTTTATCACTATCAAATCTAGTCGTGTTAAAACTTGATGGAAATCAGTTACAGAAGGTGAATGGTGACATATTTAAAGGTTTAGACAACTTAAAACATCTGAGTTTACGGAACTGTGATTTAGTTTCAGTAGATAGTAATTTATTTAATGTAGTTCGTAGACTGAAGTCTTTGGACCTTGGAGAGAATCGATTGAGTTCAATTCCACAATCCAAAGACTTTATCAATCTCAAGTCATTAGAAAATTTATATTTAGATAGAAATGAATTAACAACATTACAAGACTCTCAATTTAGTGATATGACATTAAATAAACTTAGTCTAGCTAAAAATAGAATCAACAGACTCTCACAAAAAACATTTGAATTTTTAGAAGTTCGTGAATTAGACATATCATATAATATTATTTATGACATTGAAGATTTATTCCTACGCACAACGTCACAACATATAGAGAAAATCAATTTAGCAGGAAATCCAATTCGTTTACTACCAGAGAATTCCTTTCAAAGTTTATATCGACTCACTTATTTAAATCTTTCATCATGTACCTTAGAGAAGATTACAGAAAATCTCTTTCGTGATCTGAACAATTTACGCACATTGGACGTTTCTCATAATAATATTCAATATCTACCCCAAGATGTTATTGTGATTTTAAATAAACTTCAAACATTAAATATTCAAAATAACCCTTGGCATTGTGATTGTAATATCAAATCATTAAAGAACTGGTTACATGATCCTAAAAGTTTGAGTATAATGTTATGTGTTCCTGAATCTCAATACTCCGGTAACTGTAGAAACATTCGGTGTACAACACCTTCCACCTATTATGATAGACAACTTCTTGGTTTGGAGAATGAAGATATTCACGAGTGTCATGATCCTGATAAATCATCAATGACTATTCATACTGAAATTGCTATTGTGATTCCGTGTATTTTAGTGTCTGTTTTATTATTATCTGTTGCAATCTTTTTATGGCGTCGAGGTCGAACTCGAGAAGAATTACGCAAAGTTTGTGTACCGGTTGAACAAGAGAGTAGCCACTTAGACTTTGAAAAGAAACCACGCCCTTTTGAGAACTCTGAGATTCGATCATTAAATGAATCTGATCGAAGTTTTGTGTTCAGAAATTATTTTAAGACTATGGAGACCAATCCAAGTGGAGTGGCGTACCCAACTATCTCAAATAGAGATGTTGACAGTGTTTATTCTTCACAACCATCATTATATAGTTCTTGTAGTCGTGTTCATCAACAAACAGTTGGTATTGAATCCACAGTTTAAAATCATCCTCATTCTACAATCTCATTTCAGTATCTATTTTATAAATTGTTCAATCATTGTCAATTTTCTGACTGGTTATATACTTATTTTATAATGGATATAATTTTTTGTATTTAAAATTTTATAAAAAATGTCAATGGCCATAGCGCTTCTGAAAGTGTTTTTAGCTCACCAAAAAGAAACCAATTTGGCATAGGTCAATTTTTAGGAATTTCAACTATACTGTTCCTATGTTTTTTGTTCAGATCAATGATAATGTTCAACTTTTTTCTATGTTTATACAAACCAGTATTTTTTTTTTTTTGTCATGGGTACACATTTCATTTTCAGATAATGAACAATATAATCCTTTTCTTGTCATTTAGAACTGATGCAATGCAAATTCAGGAGACATACTTAAATGTTTAAAGGGACAGGTGCATCATTCTTTTTGACCAATCATACGTATAGTCTCAGAAACGGGAATTTTTTTTAAGTCAATCAGTAATAGTGTTCACAGCTCAATGTTGAGATTTGAGCCTTCAAATCCATGTCAAGAATTATCCGCTTTTGAATGTTAAAATGACGACTCATCAATTTAAGATACTCTGATTATATAGAAAAGACATATATAGAAATAGTGAGTAAAATTCCTAGTTTCAAGTATTTTTCAAGGAATTATGTGATTTTAGTACTGTACTACATTTCTTCTGAAGACTATTTACATATATTCCGAATCAACCCCCACAAAATGCCGCCACTGTGCCTTTAAACCAGTGCTTCCAGGATGAGAGATATTATAAATATCAGCTCTGCAATTGTATGAATGGGCGGTTATCGGTGGCAATCCTTCTCTGATTTTTGTGTAAATCCATGGCCTGTTTTCTTTAAATAGAAGTTTGAAACAATACCTAACAGACATGGAGAATTAAATTATAGAGGCTGAGAAGCAGTCTAAACCTATATGTGACAGATATTATTTCAGTTCAATTAAGATGTTAGAACTCTGAGAATTTAGTCTTTGGTATTTTCTTTGTCCTTGTGTTGATTATCTATGTGCATATTTCATTATAATACTCTCCACAATTATTTTTTATTCAGTTCTCCAGGGTACAAATTAAATATATGAAATTCCTTTTTTTATAAATCACCACAATGGAGTTTAAAAAATGTTTTGAATGTTTCTAAAAGTTCAATTATATATATTCATCAATTGTTCATCCCATTTTCAAGTTTGTAGAATTTTTTAAGGAATAAAATTGTTTATTATTATGACTAATATTTGTTTGTTTTTTATAGAGTCAACAGAGAAACATCCATATTGCAAATACAGAATATGACTTGACCGTTTGACCAACTGTACCTTAGTCTCAGAAACAGAATTTTTTTAGCTAAGCTAGTCAGTAATAGTGTTCAAAGCTCACCATTGAAAAAGAGCCTTCAAATCTATGTGTGTCCAGAATTATCAGCTGTTGAATGTTGAAATGACTCTCATTTCTTGAGACTGCAATATATAGACTGGACATATACAGAAATAGAAAGTGAAATTTCTAGTAATTTTGAAGGCATTATGCCATTTTTGTTAATTTCTAGTACTTTTGAAGACTTACTTACATATATGCAATCCCAAATAAACCCCCCAAAATGGCGACCTTGTCCTTTTAAATGTTTAATCTTACAATGATTATGGCAAGTCTCTCCTCTAAATCTGAGTTTAGAAGCAATGACGGTATTTGCCAGATTTTTTCCTCTAACCGTTACCATGTCTACCCTGAATTTTACTTAGCTGCTTCCTGAAAACACATTGATCAAGGAGGCTGCAAATTATGCAGCACCCCTTCCTCCCACTTTTTTAGACTTGTTTTTCACATACCCTTCAATGGTTTGGAGATACTAAAATTATTTTGTACCTCCAATCCATTTTGACCAAACCACATCCCCATTCGTCCACATGCAAGGGCTTTCTTTTTTGTACTGTCTAAACTAAACTGTGATCTAAAGGATAGGAAATAAAATTTCAATTTCATTATTTAACCACTGTAATTCGAACGAGCAGTTTAATCAGCAAAATACTTGGAAGATGAAATTCAAGGGCTGACAGCTGAAGGGAAGTAACTTCAAGTCTAATTATTTTCTATATATTTTGTAGTGGGCTACATTTATTAGTATTTCAGGTAAATTGTAATATTATATCTTATTATCTAGTTGTACTCGAAAGCATAATAAAGAAATACTACCTCATGGATTTATCAGATTATACAGGGATTCTGTTGTATAATTATGACAAAAGGTAAGTCCAATGATAAATATAATTGGTCAATTTTAATTTTTATGAAAAACATTTACTTCAGTATAGATTTGAGGAATTCAGACACTATGAACTCTTGTCAGTTTAGTTCAACAAGTTCCTTTTGTAATTGGAGATAATCATCTCCAATCTCTGATCCAGATTCAGCTAATAGTATTAACCTTTCTAAACATACTTCAGCTACCTCTGGTAAATCAGGCTGTAGAATATGGAGACCTTTTAAGGTCACCACACAAAGATCTTTCATACCGTCTCCCATTATATCTAAACTATCTAAACCAGTCACAGGGAATGCAAAACTTCTAGTCCATAATAATTCATAACTGCCCTTTTTACTACGAGATTCTAAAGTTTCAATCTTTGAGCTGCTGGCACTACTATCAGATCCTTCTTTACTATCAACAACAAATTTATAAGCTAGCAATTCCTGGCCATAGGTTCCCAATAAAATTTCATTATGTCCATCAAAATCAATGTCCACAACACAGGAGCATAATGGAGTGTCATATTTGTCACTATCTGGTATTAGTAAATAATCATCTAAAGCATTAGTTAAAACATTACGATAAACAGTAGCTGGCATTAAAGCACTTGTCACCAATAAGCTAAAGTCATTATTTTCCTCATCTTCTATCCCATCTTCACTTTGATTAGAATCTATAAATTGGGGACATGGTGCTTGATTTTGTGGATTGAATAAAACTAAAGATGTAACTGGACTGTTATGTTCATCAGTCCAATTTTTTAATACAGTATTTTCTTTCACATCAACAAGTGTTAAACGAATTTGACCACTTTGAAACCCCATTGCTGTTAACCGTTTTTGACAATTATCTATATATTTCATAACAAACTTTAAAACATTGCTTTCAAACACGATAAACTCAGGGAAATATTCCACAGTATTTTCTTCCTGGAAATTATTATCTGCCACATCTCTATACATGTGTATTGTTTTATCTCCCCCACTCAACAAAATCACTGCCTCTGGTACATCATCTTTCAATAACACTGTATGGGTCAACTGAAACGGTACATAGGAGAGTTCTATAGTTTTCGTCATCATTTCTTCAGTTTCACCTTCATTTCCTTGGAAAGAGAAATACAAGTTTAGAAATTGCCCTGTCCTTTTGCCATCATGACTTTGATGTCTGATAAATGTTATTCCAACAACCAAGGTTGAATCTGGATCAAATCTGTTCATGACATCAATTGAAGCTATCTCAGCATCTGCTGGTATGTAAGTAAATTGAACAGTTCTAGTTGATGGCTTCAGTTTATTCTGCTTGTAATCAAAACTAACAAGAGTGATGGGAGTATCTCCTTTTAATGAAGCTACAAGCAGTCTGTTTCCCCCACCACTCTTGATTCTGGCTAAACCATAAATATTAGTCTGTGACGGTAAACTGCAGTAATGCGCATCAGTCCATGTCCAACTTCTGTCACTTACAGACATGTTTACTTTAATTTTTATGTATGCACTGACAGATCTTTGAATTCATTTTCTGTCAAAATTATGAAAATATGGAAAATTCGACCGCCATATTGAACAAAATAGTTGGTCACATGATCTACTGAAGTCACGTGATACTTGTGGAGCATACAAATCAAAATGGCAGCCTTCATTGATGAGTGTTCAAGATGCTGATAATTTATCGACATATTTTGACTCTCCTTCTCAAATTTAGTTGAAGATCGTTCGCCAAAAACAATGCATGTCCTTATTTAAGCAGACTATAAAATTTAAACAGCATCTGCCTAGAATTAACAAAGAAGTAAGCCTCAAAAGTATTGTATCTTGCTTCTCTCTGTGAATGTGGCAGTCACTGTCATTGTCAGTCAAGTCGGTGTGTTTCAGATCGGTAATATACCACAAAGCATGAACTCGGACATTATCTTTAAAAAATGTGAATTGTGGGATATAAATAGAACTATGTGGCCATTAAATACATTCTCATGCTCTGATTGGAACTGAATTATGACATTTTTAATTTTTGATTCTAATTGAATAATCTGTATGTTCTGAACTTTTCAAGATGTCTATCTTTAAAAGATTTCTAGGAGGCAAAGATGGTGACACCCTCAAGTCACCTACTGGAACAAGTCCATCGGGAATGATGCCAATGGGACAACAGTTACAAAGAAAATTTGCAAAGGGTGTACAGTATAACATGAAAATTGTTATTCGAGGTGACAGAAATGTGGGAAAATCTTGTTTATTTCATAGACTACAAGGTCAGAAGTTTAAAGAAGAATACATTCCTACAGATGAGATTCAAGTTGCAAGTATTCAATGGAATTACAAGGCAACTGATGATGTGGTAAAGGTAGAAGTCTGGGATGTGGTTGATAAAGGAAGACCACGGAAGAAAATGGAAGGATTGAAATTAGACAATGCTGCTGAATTAATGCCCGAGGAACCATGTTTGGACGCAGAATTTTTAGATGTGTATAAAGGAACACATGGTGTTATTTTGATATATGATATAACTAAACAATGGACTTATTCCTATATTGAGAAAGAACTTGAGCGTATACCCCTCCACATTCCCGTTTTAGTTTTGGGAAATCATCGTGATATGGGACACCACAGAACAGTAAGTGAGAAAAAGGCTAAATACACAGTAGAAAATTTACAACGTGAAAGACCTGAGGGTTCTGGTCAAGTGAGATATGCAGAATCCTCTATGAGAAATGGATTTGGTTTAAGATATCTTCATTTATTTTTTAACCTTCCTTTCTTACAACTTCAAAGACAAACATTATTAAAACAATTAGAGACAAATACAGATGACTTAAATACAACTGTCCAAGAATTAGAAGTGCATGAAGATTCAGAAGAGCAAAATTATGACCTATTTTTAGAAAGTCTAACTGCCAACCGTAGAAAGCAAGCAGAAAGCTTAGCAGAGAAAGCTGTTGCAGATGCTAACTATAAACAAGATTCTACTGGTGCCATAACAGCTAGAGATCAGCCTGACACCGCAGCTCAAGTACCTCGATCCATTTCTCAACCAGCCATGTCAAAAATTCCCTCCAACCCTTCTTTTGAACCAGTATCACTTACTCCCTCAGCACCACCAGCCTCCAAAAGTACACCAGCAACACCTGCATCTACTCCTGGTGAACAGAAATCTGGATTTCTCTCAAGATTTTTTAAGAAATCAGAAGCTAGTGAGCCAGCTATTGAAGAAAAGAAAATATCAAATCAAAGCAATGAAAGTATGGTGAAGTCTGTTGATGATTTTGTTCCAGAAGATGACATTGATAGTTCTTTTCTTACTGAAGATACTAAAATCAACAAAATGGACAACAATGAGCAAGTAGAAAAACATAACTCCAGTGATGAGGAAAATGACAATCCCATGGTAACTGGATTTCAAGATGACTTAGATTCTGAAGATGATGTTGCTCAACCAAGTCTAACCAATTCTAGTTCAAGGAATAAAATGATTGCAGATGATGTAGAACTCTCCAATGATGAAGATTATGAAGAGTCCTTGCCAAATAAAAATGTTGTGAAACAAACTGTTGAAGTATCTTCTGATGAAGATGACACAAGCTCTGCTGTCATTTCTCAGATTAAACAACCTGAAGACTATAGTGAACATACTTCTACAAGTGAAAATACTGTCTCAAATAAAATTTTGTCTAAATCTAATATAAGCTTAACTGACTCAGAAGATGATTCTAATATTAAGTCTGTTGATGAAATTCCTGATGTTGTGATAACACATCCAGATTCTGGTAATCCACATTTAGACATACCAAAAGAGGATTTAAATACCTGGCTGGATGAGCTAGAAGAAAAAGCTAGTGTAGTCTCATTAAATAAGCCGGTAGAAGACAGTGATGATGAAGCCACTGGTGCTATGAAAATTCAAGTGAAGGCTGTGAGCTCTGATATTGATGAAGGCTCATCTTCTACCACTTCTTCTTCCAAGAAAAAAAAAAAAAAGAAGTCAGAAAGCAAAGACAAAGATGAAGAGAAGACAAAAAAGAAAAAGAAGAAAGATAAAGAAAGAGATAAAGAAGGAAATGGGGAGAAAAAAGAAAAATCCAAGAAAAAGAAGAAGAGACTGAGTGCAGAAATGAAACAAGAAGCTGATGATTTAGAATCGTTTCTAGGGGGTACTGATTCACATGTTAAAGGAGAGGGTTATGAGTCTTTATAAGGAAGTCTGTTTCTTCACCTGCTATTGAGAGCTGTAGTTGAGTTAATTGGTGGTCAGACTGAAAACTGAGAGGTATTGCAAGAAAGCAGAAGTCTGAATGTTTACAATTGAGCAAATTTTAAAATTAACTAGGTAATTTATTCTGTGGATGTTATCATGACCAGTCTTAATCACAACTTTTGAATCTTTACAGATAATTGTTTTTTAGCATTTCCATTTATTGTTTAACTGTGTTGTGACTGTTGATTAAAACCAAAAAATCATTATTCTTGATACAGTATCTTGCCAGTCATTAACAAATTTTCCAAATATATACCTTATATCAGCTTTGCTTAACTTTTATTTATTAAAAAAAATATTAATCTACTGGGATATATTTAAGTATAAATGATTGTAGTTAATGATAGGTAAAAGGTTTCATATACAGGAATATTATACATGTATACTGTAATATTATTATAAAGTAGTTTAAGGTATAGTTAGATGAATTGAACTCTTGCTCACTAACCTTAAGGTTGAGATAAAACTTGCGGATTTTTAACCTGGTTTCTCATCCTTTGTGATAGAGGGTTTGGAGGGGCTGACTTGTTAAAGTGTTCCCTGTGAACTATAGGATGTACACATTAAAGATCCCTTGACAGGGTATGTCATTGTTACAGCAAAACTTCCCTAATTGCATACTTCATGGGGTTGTTTTTTTTTTCATAAGCAAGATTAGGTGATGAAAAGTAAAAAGCTTCTGACTGAGACACTCCGAAATTGTTATTTTTATCAGCTGATGGAGTTTGAAATGAAGGCTTATTTTATTAGTTAAAAATTAGTAAAATTTTAATCACTTCCTTTTCTCTTCTATCTTCTTGAACAGGTCTCAAAACCAAATATGTTGTGTTTAAGGATTTATTTTAATCCTTTCTAAGTGTAGAAATGTCCATTCAGTAGGTGCTGTATGAAACCTATAATAAATTGTGCACTTAATTGTGACTTTAGTAGTTTTCAATTTAGAAAATATTTATCAGAAGCCAGAGTAAGGCAAATATTTTGATGGGTATTTGGTTTATGAATTATGATTACTAAAAATAAATTATAAGAAAATCTATTTATGTACCTTCAATGAATGTATATTATTCATATTTCAAAACGAAAATGTTTATTTTTTCATTGTTTTGTTAGTTGTGTGTGCAATATGATGGTTGAAAGTTGTTATGTTTAGTATATCTTGTATTCTTTCACAAATTTTCACATATTTATAATACCTACAAAAATACCTTTTAGTATGGTGACTCCAACAACCTGCTGAATGAGATCATTTATGAAAAACTTGAAATCAAGTATAAACACAATTATATATTGTTCATCTCTTAGGTTTTACTACAAATTAAGATTGTCTTCATTTAGCAAATAAAAATATTATACATGAATAAAACAGTCAAGGTTACTTTGTGTATGTCATTTTATGTACCATGCTAAATGTTGGTGAAGAATTATTAACTGATAAAGGCACCTGAAGATACTTCAGTGTATTTTGAAAGTTTTGTAAGTGGTTGTTGTATGTTGATTTTCTTTGATTTGTTAAAATAAAATATTTATCATAAATTACAAAGATATAAAGAGTATCCTAAGAATATTGTCAAATTTTTTAATGGATTCAGAATTCAATACGAGTATTACTTGATGATATTGTAGGAAGGGAAGGGTAAGAGATGGATTCAGACAAATTTCTTTTGTCCTGAAAAAATTATTCAACCCTACCTTTTAGAGTAGTCCAAAACATCTGACTCTTTTGCAGCCTCTGATAGATATTTTGACAGTAGTCAGCTGGAGCAACTTCATAGCTTCGGTCTAATTTTGGAGGTGCTACAGCATCTTCTATCTTTCTCTCTAATGTGAATGTTTTTCAACCCGATTTCCCCCTGTCAGTGATGCAGGTACGAGGGGCTGACATGGAAAAAGCGCCTAGTCGTTCGGATGGGACAATAAACCGAGGCCCCATGTGCTACAGGCTGTGCACGTTAAAGATTCCTCGACAGTTGGAAATCGAAAAAGAGCAGGCTAATGCCGCTGTCCTGGCAAAATTTCCCTCATTGCACCCTGCATGGCGTCGCCCTTCTTCATTAGCCCACAAGGTGCAGAAAAGCAGGACGTAAAACGCCATTCATTTCATTTCATTTCCAATGTGAATGTTAATGTAGGCCTACCTCTAGAAAGGAAAAGAAACTGATGCCTTGATGCCAGTAGAAGTATTTAAGTGTTACTGTCCTTCATTGCACACTGTATGATGTCTCTCTTCATAGGCCTAATCAGATGCAGATAGTAAAGACGTCAAGTTTCATTTTTATTTCACTTCTCTATGTTCCTGTTCACCAAATCATACCGTAGACATAGTCTTATATTATTTGTGTTAAATAATTTCTCTACTAGTACCCTGGCAGTTGCAGAAAATTACAACAAAATACCAATCTGGTAATAGTGCTTTGTAAATAAAGCATCAAGTCATGAACAAGTTATACAAAAAATGATTTATTAGGCTATATACCTCACAATAACAAGGTTTATAATCACATTAACAAATAAGAAATAATTAAATACACCCCATTAAAAACATTTAAACCCAATTTATTACAAACATCATATTAACAAGGTTTATCAGAAAAGAAGATTGTATTACATAAATCACATTAACAAGGCTTATAGTGGAAGAAGATTTCATTACATAGGCCTACATCACTTTCACAAGGATTATAGGCCTAATCACCACATACATAAGATTTATAATGAAAGAAGAATTTATTATAGACATCACTTTCACAAGGTTTATAATGAAAGAAGAATTTATTACATTCATCACTTTAACAAGATTTATAATGAAAGGAGAATTTATTACATATATCACTTTCACAAGGTTTATAATCGAAGAAGAATTTATTAGGCTACATACCTCACAATAAAAAACATTAACAAAAAAGTAACAATTTAATACATCTCATTAAAAAGATTTATAATGGAAGAATAATTTATTAAAACATCATATTAACAAAGTTTATAAGAAAAGAAGATTTTATTACGTAGATCATATTCACAAGGCTTATAGTGGAAGAAGATTTTATTACATAGGCCTACATCACTTTCACAAGGGTTATAATCATTTCATTAACAAAATTTATAATGAATGAAGAATTCATTACATACATCACATTAACAAGATTTATAAATGAATGAAGAGTTTATTACATACATCACATTAACAAGCTTTATAAATGAATGAAGAGTTTATTACATACATCACATTAACAAGCTTTATAAATGAAAGAAGAATTTATTACATACATCACATTAACAAGATTTATATAATGAAAGAAGAATTTATTACATACATCACATTAACAAGATTTATATAATGAAAGAAGAATTTATTACATTCATCACATTAACAAGATTTATATAATGAAAGAAGAATTTAATACACACATCACTTTCACAAGGTTTATAAGCGAAGAGAAATTCAATAGGCCTATATACTTCACTATTACCATTTTGGACATCGAAAAAAAAATCGAGTGTGATATAAAGGACAATGTAGAAGAAAATTACAACGCAATGTCCAGTAACTGAATGTTGTGCAATTGTTTAATGTTACTTCGTTTCTTCTCACACCGGTGGTTGATAAAATACAGAACTCCAGACATGTGTGTTATTGACATTACATACAAACCTCCAAATCTATGAATGGATATAGATTCATGATTAATTAATATAATAGCCTACAACAGTGTAAGTATGAAAGGAATTTGGCAATAAAGTCATATTTTTACTGTAACTAACCGAGCACTTTTATAACACAAAAAAAACCTTTCATTTCTCAACTGCTACACAGTAGCGAGTAGGGTAGGCTACAGCAACTGCAGCAGTGCAGGTTCTATTTTATCCATCTCTGTCATCTTGTTTAGTTTTTATGGTTAATCCGATTTTATCGATTATAATGATTTGGATTATACTTGTGTCCCATAGATTATTGGCCGCCTTCTGTCGGACCACAATCACATTTTGCCAATTTTTTTTGTACCAGTACTCAAGCCTATATGAATTGAAATATTTAAAGCTTAAAATAAAACTTTATAAAACAAAATACAACAAGGATAAGGGATTAGACGAATTTTCAGTCAGAAAGATGGCTGGTGGACCTTTAAGAGAATTTTATGAGCTCACTGTGATCAGACTGTAGGCCTTCATGGACTTAGCTTGATTATTTGAATATTTTCTACCCTATGGCATGGAAGTCTTAGTATTCCTGATGTTACAATATTACAATGCAGTACTATACAACTATGTGAAAAATTGATTCATTTGTTATTTCAGTAGGCATTCAACATGAATCGAATAACCTCTCTTATTTTTCGATCTGGAGGATATCATATTAAACAATGGAATAATGTGGAGAAAATATCACAGAAATTCAGTCAGCCTTCTGTTTATTCAAGTTGTTCTAGTGTTAAGATAGTTACAAGATCTTTTTCTGACCATAGTAATTCTAGAGACCCTTTCAATAACTTACCTTTATATGATGAAAAGAAAGGAAAGTTGATTTACTCTGGAATTCTCACAAAACCAGTGAAAGGAGCCAAGATATTTTCCTTGTCAACTAGTATGATTGGACTGGGAATGCTTCCTTTTATTGTGTTTTCCTTAAAGGATGATATGTATAGTAAAATTGTGACTGCTGCAACATTTTCTGGATTTATTATTATTACACCAATTTTGATGCATTTTATAACCAAGAAATATATAATATCAATTTATTATGATGAAGAAACCAAGATATTTACTGCCACATCATTTTCATTATTTGTGAGGAGAAAGGATCATATTTTTACTGCTAAGGATGTAGACCTTAATCCTGGTGCTTTTTCTAGTATCAAAGTCAAAGGGTTTCCTTTATTGTTAGATGAAAGTAGATTTTTTGATCAATCTTATTGTTATGAAATTATGAGTCTTGATAAACCTATTACAGATTTTATTAAAAAAGACAATGAGTGAATTTATTGCTAGATATTTGAGATATTAACGTCACTGGCATATGTATGCTGCGCATTACCTTTGTTTATAGTGCTATAAAAAGACATAAGAGGATGGATATACAAATTCAACTGTTGTAGATGACTCTGTAGATTTTAAAAATGTTTCACAATAAATAATAATTTTGTAATTGTGAAAGAATGCTCCATGACTATTCTCTTATAGGGATTGTAGAGAGGTTTTCTAAATTTTGTATGTGTATGGGACTATGATGGCATCAATTTGCGCCATTCCAATTTTCAATCAGACGTCTGTGGTTCTAGCAATTCTACTAAACCTAACGCAAAGGTCTGTGTGATAAAACACTTAGAATGCTGAGAATTGATGCTATCAGTTTCCCCGAAAAGCAGTAAAAATTTAGAAATGTCTTCTATTTCATGTCTAGTAATTGATTAGTAATGTGCAAAATTTTATGATTTAAAATGGTTTTATCTTGTTTTTTTATAATAGAATAATATAGTGAAAATATTATGTTAAAATGAACATGGATTATATAGGCCAATGTTTAAGGGTCCTGTACTGTCACTTTCAGTCAGTCTCAATCAGAAGTGAATATGATTGAGACTAATTTTATTTTGAAGAAACTTTCTTATTAGTGACCAAAGGTTCCTGAGCTATTTCCCTTGACACAGCTAAAGTTGCAGAAAAGTAGGAGGTAAAACTCAGTAAGACTCAGCTAGGTCAAAATATGAATATAGTACCTTCTGATCACATACCAATAATAACATTCATTAGTTCTTGGTAAAGCCAGTTGACATGCGATTCACACCATCTTACTACATTTAATTTATCTGCTTTCTGATCATTTCCACCAGCTAGTTTTAGTTGAAATTTATTTGCATTAAAGGGACAGATGTGTCATTTCTGGGGGTTGATTTAGACCTTGAACATATTAGTAGTCTTCAGAACTACTAAAACTGTACGAAAATCGCAAAATTCCTTCAAACATGAAATTTATCTTTTTATTTCTTCTTTCTGAAATTTGGAGTATCCGACTTTGAATGTCTAGTTGATATAGTCTCTGACACCAAGACATCACATCTTCTGACACAGATGTGCATAGAAGAAGTGAGACGGGATAATTGAGTCTACTGTATACACATGACATCAACGGATATTCATATAAATTTATTGCTGTGTCCCCCTAGTCAATGTATGTCGTCTTTCAGTATAGTTTGGGTAACAATTTCCATGCTTGATTAAGAATTGTGTTGTACATGTACCAATTCTAGGTGATATAAAACTATATTAAATTATATTAGATTTTATTAAAAAAATTTGAAAAAATGACAAGAAAAATGAACATTAATTATGATTATGAATGATTTGAAAATTATAAATTCACAACCAATTTTTACTCTTTATACTAATAAATGATAAATCAACCATACTGTCTATTAAATTATCAGTGTTTAAAATTAAAGTTAGAAACTTTTTATAAATACACTTTCCAGGAATTACAATTTTGAAAAAGAACATTTTAGTTAGTGTTAGTTAGTGACTACTGTAGTCTGAATATATTTTATCGTTGCATTATTGATATGTGTTAAGATTTGCCTTAAGGATGGATAGTTTTGTTTAATAATACATATATACTATCACAGTTTATCACAACAACAACACATTACAAAGTACCTGTTTTATGATTTAAAGTTATAATTGTCTGATTTGAATAACTTCTATATACTATAAGTAATATATAGAGATAAATAATCCAACTGCTTCTTGTGTATAAATATTTGTCCTGTATTCATACCATGTATAACTAATAAAAATCAAATAATAGTACAACAGTTTTTAGCAATATATCTCTATATTTACATATTAATTATAGACATGTACAATTTATTGTCTTTAGTCCTAGCAGCAATTCTTAATTAACAGCACAACCCTTGACAGAAAAGTACATACCTTGTTTTCTTGTACTCAACTACAATTTTAATAAATACCATCATAACATTTGAGATTTTGTTAGACATGCAAGGGGTTTGACCACAGATAGCATGTACTAACAGGTGTACTATAGGTATATGATTTGATATGTAACAAGCATTTTGATCAGATGTTAAACTTTAGCTTGAAACTGTCATCTCTTTGTTGATGTTATTATGCTGTACATGAGATGATTAGCATTAATACAAAATGACAAGACATTAAATGTCAAACAGAATTGGTCCAAAGTATCTGAAAATGGTGGAATTATGTTTCAGTTTGCTGCGGTGAAAAGACAAGACACACAATTATTCTTAAATTAACATGATAAAGCGTTATATACATATGATTATAAAAAGTGAAGCATTTACTATAAAATAATGATTGACTAAAGATATGCAAAAAATATAAATAAAAATAATTGTTGAAATCAAATGTCATTAACCTTGTAAAAATCATTTTCAAAATGAATTATAGGAATCACTCAAGGTTATGGGATGAAGCGAAATATGTCATGTTATACTTTAACTACTAAAAGCCACCATAATAGTAAACAAAATGGATTTTACATCCGCAAAAATATAATATTTAATCTAAAAAATAAAAGATATAGACACTATTGAAATATATGAAGAAAAAAATAAAAGTAGCTAGGACCAATAGAACAATCGCAGTTTTCATATAATATATTAATAATTTGAACTGAAAACCATGCGAAAGTGTGACCATTTATAAACAGGTCACAAAAATAAAGCACATCATTAGAACTACAACTACAGTAAACTAGCAGTTTACCTTTAAGGTAATTCAGAAAATTTCGAGACAATTTCAAATAAATTTCCTGACAAAATTATAAGCAAAAATCATTATTTTTATTCTGAAGAAGTTCAGAAATGGTTCACAACACCGAATATAGAATAATTACTTCACTGGATATTATATATACAACCTTGTACATCTTATTACAAAATAAACTATTAATCTGGCTTAAAACCGCATAGTTGAAAAACTCATTTCCACTACTTTTTATCGACATTCAACCTTCCAATTCTTATACAACAGAGATTATTGTCCTTAGAACCATTGTTCTGAAAATTAAGTTTCATAAAATATCCTTGATGAAACTGATAAAGCTTGATAAACACTGAATTGTTCAATTGCTGAGCAGCGCCTAGGTCCCTGATGTATTTTGATATAATCTGATAAATTCTTCAGATCCTGCTGCATGGAATTTTCCAAGAGTTTATGCTTGAATTTGAGCACTTGGTGATATCCAGATTTTTCTTAACCATTTATACACTGGTTTGTTTTGATGGAATTTATAGAAGAAACAAACACACATCACAATACATTATTGTTCAGGAGTCATTATATATGATCATTTTCTTCTCATTCACATATCATACATTATATAAATAATTCTATCTATTTATACAAATCTAGAATCACCCTTTTAAAAAATATGTGAATATATTAAAATCTGGATTATCTTTATCTTCTAATCTTCTTGTCCAGCACCGTACATATCAGCTAACTTGGCGAATTTTGGTCCCCAATCATTTAAATAATCATAGTCCTGATCACCATCACTGGATGTTGTATTTAATGAACTGAGAGAACCAGCATCACTTCCACCACCTTCATAGGCGTATTCACAAACACTATCAGGTGGTGGTCCATTAGGATCATCATCAGCATCTCCTAATCTGTCGTCAATAAAACCACCTACATCAGGATCTTCACCTGGCCGTGGAGCACCTGAAATAAGAGCAAATAGTTAATAAATAACCTTACCCTGCTAAAACTAAATGTGTGAAAGTAAGATATAGATATGATTTACAAGTAGTAGTAATGGTATAAGATTGTGAAAAACTATTATTAACTTACGTCCTAATCCAACCATTCTTGTACGTGGTATAGGATCTAATGGTGATTTACCCATGGACATATTGTCATCAGGTTTACGTAGTCTGCTGATATCATAGGCATCATGATCTTCTTCACCTATTTGAAAATTAAAATTAAATAAAACATCAGTTAGTGAATATATTCTGCTAACTTATGACAATGTGTTATGTTCATCAGTGTTCACTTGTGTTTTCTTTTTTTCTTGTAGAGAAGATACAAAATCCTACACAACGCTTGGCAGAGGAAACTTTACGATAGAAATTAACTTACCTGCTCCTTCTTCATCATAATTCATAACATTTTCTCTGATATCTTCATCTGGGTCAACTTCTAATATATATTTATCACTATCATTAGGTCTTTCACTAAATCGCACCAAAAATATCACAACCAATGCTAAAACTACAAAAGAGATAACGACAATATGAATATTTGTGGTCCAATAATAATTGAAGGTGTAAGACATGAGTCAGATTTTTGAAATAAACGTTTTTCTTAACTATTTGGATAAGGAACAACAACCTTCAATATCAGTGACATAGTTAAATATAACAAACAAATTCAACCTTGGAAAATATAAAACACCAAGAAATATACTTACTTAAGGCTATAAATATACAAACAACAATGGCTACTATAGCACCAGTAGACAGACCAGCTACAACTGATCCTGGATCTCTCTTCTCACAGAATTTCCCATCCCATCCTTCAAAACATTCACATTTATCTACATTACATCGACCAGAAATACATGGATCTGTTTCACAGAATGGTATCAGTATACATTTACCATTTGGGCCTTTTTTATATCCATCTTGGCATCTATCAGAAAATTACAAAAAAATATTATTAATGTATAGAAAGTATGTAAATCACCTTGTTAGATATACACTGAGAATCACTGTTATATTACACAATCTTTATAGTAGAGCTGTTGATTATGTTCTTTTTTCTGTACAAAACCTGCAATACAGTTTCCCTGTCCTGTCTAGGTTTAACAAATGTTAGAAATAGGAATGACAGGATGATTCTTTTTCCAATGTAATCTAACAAATTGTAGACTGTCAAAATACGAAAGAGACCAAACATTGTTTAACATTATACCTGCATTCATATATACCCCACAATGGATAGCAGACTTCAAACTCTCCTGTACATGTGACACCTTCACAATCATTTCTAAGACAATCATCCTCTAAATTGACATCACGGACCAACGTAGCAGCTTTACTTTCACTATTTTCATTCATTTCCATTGGGAACCAACCATTCTCAATTCTTACATCATTTAAACATGCTGTAATTAAAAAACAAGATTTAGTAAATCGTTATGAAATACAGTTTGATCAAATAAAGGAAAAATTCATCAAAGCAACAAGGTTGGGAATAATTTCTTATAATGTTTAGGCACAACCAACAACCATCTATACACTGCATATTTTAAGTGGTTGATACTTTGATATTAACAGTTTTCCAGCTATCATTCAATATATAAATTATTCATGTTGTTATAATTATATCTTTAGAAAAATTTTTTATAGATGTTAACACTTACTATCACTGAGATCAGTTGATGGTGAAATAACAGAAATACTGCTGGTTTCAGAAACACTGGCACCAGAAAAGACAATTCTCTGTATATTTATTCCTTCATACTCTCCAGGATTACCCAGAGTATAATTATAATTTCTTCCTTCACCACCATCCATTTTCAATATAAACTGTTTACCATAACGCTCTAATTCTACTGTATGCCATCGTCCATTACTGGCTGGAGAGTAATACAGTTGTAATATCTGTACATTACTATTACCCAAATCATATTTCACTTGTAATATACCATTTTCAATCTGAAGAGAAAATAAGATAAAGTGTAAAATTATCTCTATAATCTAGGTATATAGTTGAAAATTCATATTTCTATATGATGAGATCAACAAATAAGCCTTTAACCTTTCCAAGTTCTGGAATAACTACTCTTATAGTATTGTATAGGACAATACATGTATAATCTTTATAACTGTTTACTTCACACCTGGTTTACCTTAAATGTAGGCAAGGTTGTTATAAAACAATATTAAGTTTATACCTCTAATATAACATGTTTACTATTTTCAGCAGTAGAAACTGTCATCAGAACGCCATTTTCATCTCGGGTACGGAATTGTAAGTGCATCTGTAATTTCCATGGTGTTATATTGTTAAACCATTCATCAGATAACTTCCATTTTATATAACTCATATCTTTCAAGTCTTTAACAGTTGTTTCTGTAAAATATCACAAACTTTCACATTAGATCAATCAAAAGTCATTGAAGTGCAGGTTTATATAACATATTTTTCTCTTTTGAATTATTTAAGGTTAAAAAGTTCAACAAATCATTCTACATCCCATTAACTTCCAAGAACTTCAACAATAAGAATTACATAGTATGTAGCAGTGTGTCATATCAACTAATGGCTTTAAGATGAAATTACCTTTTTCACACTTTTCTCCTCTCCATCCTGTTTTACAAATACACTTATAATCATCAGGAGACCAAGAGGATATACAAATACCATTCTCACCACAAACTGGTACCAAATCTTTACCACAAATACCTTCTTCTTTCTTACAACCATTAGAACCAGATGGGTAGCCTGGTGTTCCTCCGATATGTAAGTTATACATCTAAAATTTTAACAGTAAATAACAATAATTGAATTCATGAAATTGTATGATTTTCAATATGATTTAAGTTAATAACTGTAGAAGGAAAGATTGTAACAAAAATAAATTGAAATAATATGCAGAATAGCCATGGAAACGCTTCCTGAATACCCCTAAAAAAAAAATAAGATACAAACAGATACAAACAGGAAATTACTAGTATCTAGAGAACATAATTGATGAAACTTAGTTCTTTGTTTTTCTTTCTCTTGAACACTTGAAAATATCATACAAGTTTTGAAAGTAGTGTTTTTACCTCTCCATTATGAATAAAATTTTTAACGCAACCATTATATCTTATTGGTGTAATACCAGCAGGATAGGAAGGTGGTGGGTCCTCAGCTCGACCTCCTAGTTGTAGTAATGTATTAACATTAAGTAGTCTATTCTCATTGGATGTAGCACCAGATTGTCTACAAGCTCTATCATCAACTCCAATACCATTATTACGTGATATATCCTGACATCTATCAACTATTAACTGAACATTCTGTAATAAAATCAATCATAGTGTTAATGGATAAGCCAACACATGGTCGACGCTTAAAAGCACTGTCTATGAAATCAGCATTTTTTTTTCTAAGGAGATCCAAACCTACAATACAGAATTGCCGAGCAGCAGACAATCTAACATCTGACCAGTCCCACTAAGTGCAATCAACTCTACAGTAGGTCAAATTGTTTGTTTTCCACACAAAAGGATGAAAATTTATTTCAATTAAAAGCTTACTCAAATTAATGCTTACCCTTCCTTCTCTAATAATATCAATATGATGCCATTTACCATCATCTAGTCTCTGTAGTTTAACTGACCCTTGTTCATCTCTGCCATCAATTTGTAAAGATAATTCTCCTGTACCATGGTCTATACGTAGTCTAGGATAACCTTTCACTAATTCTAATGATATATAGTCAGTCGGATCATCAGGTCCTAATTCACCAATTGGTCCATTATAGAAGATCAAACTATCAGCTTGTTGGGTTATAAATTCTATACTAGTCTGACTATCAAGACATTGCTCTAATGGTTTAAATAAGGAATAACTCTTTCCATCAAAACTATGATGTGTTCCTTGACATCTTGGTCCATCATATCCTATTGGACATTTTGGGCATCTGAAATACAAAACAGTCTTATACTACATATCATTTTACAGCTAGTAAATTTAATTGAAAGGAAAATAAAAAAAACCCAACCCACAATTCGCAAGCATAATTCTCGGATAAACTCAAATAGATGCTTGCCTTACTGAAATTTGTATGAAATTGTGTTTTTTTTTTGCTAAAGTTTAAGCCTAACACTTACGAAATAGTGTTCCAATCATCTTTAACGCATTCACCACCATTATAACAATAATCAGCTGAACACTCCTGTTCATCAGGATACATAGTAGCTCGGCAGCCTTCTAAAGCTTCCACCTTAGTTTCTACACCAATAAAGGAAGTACTGTTGGTATTAACCATAGCTGGTTGTTCCGTGATATTCAGGTAATTATAACAACCACCTTCAAATTTCTCATCCATACATTCATCGATTGGTACCATTCCAATCTTAATACCAACTTTATTTTCAAACTAAAATCAAAATATTTCACAACAATTAACAACACATCTTAAGAACGAAAATCTTTTAAATCAAATTCTTTGTTTGTATATTTTTCAGGTATATCCAGACCACAAATAATAATTAAATATTGAGTAATATATCTAAAATAATAGGCAGCACTTGATTGGACGGTTCTGCATAGGTTCTGTCTGATCCAATGTACGGAAGCGGACTATGTTACATTCAAAATTTTCCTATCTATTTCCTTCTACGCCATTTTGATTTTGAATCAAAAAAATATATGCCTGTCAAATTTATCTCTTAATTGCTATAGATTTGCTGGAAACACAATTCAAAACTTTCTTAAGAAATTTTTCACAAATTATTTCCTGATTACAAACCTCTTTTCTATTTAAAGAAATAACACTATCTGATTTACTGGCATCATAGTATGGTGAACCTGATACTGAATATCTGACATCAGTAAACTCTCCATTATTCATCACACTTATCACTTCTACTTTCTCTTTCTTTGTATTTAATTTATCCGCTAATAATTGACGGAATTTATCACTCTTACTATCATAATAGGAGTTGAGATTACCATCATCAACTTTCTCACGGTCCACAAAATCTTCAGCTGTTATACCTGTAATCAAATAAAAACATTTACAGAGTCTACATATTTTATGACTAATTTGTTGAAGAGCCATTTTATTAGAGGAACAGGTACCATTAGTTTGAATTTTTCCTAAAGCCATAAAATTAGTTGATGGCCATGTGATACTTCAGTAAGCTGGCCCCATCTGTATTGATATTTTAGTTCTTCATGTCAGTTAATCTAGACTATTATCAGACACATACATATTTCAGGCCTTGTTCATTCAGCAAATTTATAAATTACCTGTTAGTCTCATAGCACCAGATTTCTTCACAGCTTCTTCTGTTAACATTTGTATAACAACAGTCACTGTTGATTCTACAGTCTTCTGATGTAAATTATCTGTTACTTTAACAGTAAATGTATATTCGCCTTCTGGTACTTTTTCTTTTAATATTATACTACCATTTTCAGAAATAACCCTAAAAATACAAAATACTTATGCAACACTAATCATATATTCTTGGTCCATTTAACAACAATACTGCATATTTTCTATAAAAAAAAAAAGAAAGAAAAATAAAATGAGAATGCCAAATGAAGAGAATGCTAAATGAAGAGAAAGAAATAACATACTCAAATAAATCTTTGTATGTATTTGGACCATCAAATGTTTTATCAACGACATCCCAATCATCAGGGTCAGCAGCATAAGCATTTCCAATAGGTATATTACCAAATAAACCTGTAAAATATATATATTTCTGTATCACTCTACAAGCACTAATAATAATTATAGCAATAACAGTGAAAATAAGTTGTCGTAAAAAATATTTTGTTCAATTGTTATATATATATATCTCAATTATAGATAGAAAATACATTGCAAATTTCATCATAAAATCTATTGATAGTAGGTTTAATGATAAATATCAAAAATCATACCTTTATAATTATATACAAAGATATCTTTATGACCAGGATTATGAGGATTATCATTAATATCTCCTATTTCTACTGTTAGAGTATTGGTACCAGTCTGAGAGTTAGGGTCACCTTTTCCTCTCATGTCCCACATAACAATTGGTATATAATAATATTTCTGTTTTTCTCTGTCAAATTCAGCTTTAGTAAAGATAACACCTTCGCCATTTCCACCATCTCCAGCTGAAACATTAAGCATTGTTTAATTTTGAACTGTTTTATTTAAGATTGTGTTTTTGATATGTGACATATAGGTCTACATGTACATTAATGACTGGTGTTGTTGATTAAGTAGTGATTTTGAAAACCGTATAATGTAATATGTCGAAAAAATAAACACCATAACAGATAAAAAAAAAACACTGTATGTCCCAAAAACAAAAAGCAAGATTTCACAATCATATTTGTTTCATTGAATCAGAATGGACTTTGTCATTACCATCAACTGTTGATCAAAGGTTTATTTGGGTTTTGTATTCGTAATTCAGTTTGTATGTTAACTTTTAACTTTTTAATTAAGTTTCTTACCATCATTAGCTGTTAGATTAAAGAAATCACAAGTTGGTCGTCCAGGACAAGGACATCTTGAAGTACCATCTTCACATCGTGTTGATTTAAAACCAAATGGTGGACCAAATTTCTCTGTGTCTAAATCTTTACCATGTACACGAATTACTTCTTTTGGGAAATTTGGGTCATTTTCCATGACAATAGGGCGATAGTCATATTTGAATATAGGATAATTATCATTTATATCTATTAGATTAACTGTTAAACTTGCTGTTCCAGTCTGTTGAGGATCACCTAAAATATACAATCATCAAGTTAATTCACCATACATATATGTTCTGTTCATTAGCAGCATAATCAGATCTGTAGAAAACAAAGCAATAGTATAAACTCAACATCTTGAGAACTTTATCGGTTTTATTCATACCCCAATATAATTACAATACTCCATACAAAGATCTTTAGATAGTAAGTTTAATTTCAATCTGACTGTAAAACTACCTACCTTTATCAATGGCTAATATTCTGACTTCATGAACAGGTAATGTTTCCCTATCTAATCCTCTACGTACAGAAACCTCTCCACTAACTTCATCTATAGCAAATTGTCTCCTTCTATCAGTTGTAGTATCAATATGGAATCTAAAATAGAGAAATTTAGGATCTAACTAGGCAATATCTTTACTTTATCTTTCGTGACCAAGCTCTAAATAGTCTGGTAGCAGTTGAGGTATTTTAAGATATTACAGAGAAAAAACAGTTAATGATGTTTTATTTATCTATTTTGAGTTCATCAGACATAATAATTTATTATTACATTTCACTACTATGTTCCATAATAAAAATACAGATATACAGTGGAGCTGTGTTGCCGATAATCCGGAAACCTGATATCCGCACACTTTTTTTTACCTGGAAGGGTATACTATGTAAAAGTAACCGTTAATCCGTGATCCAGTTTCGCAAGGCTGTGATTGGGAACCAATTATCAAATTATATAGTAATTAGTATTCATCATCCGGTCGTGTGTCACTGTCAGTCAAACCTGAATTCTATTATTGCTACAGAACACATCAAATGAAGTTATAGCACGGAAATTTGTGTTTATAAATAAGTGAAACTGGCTTCCGGGTTAGTTTTATTCATGATGCCTCGTTAATCTGTTATTAATAAATCGTTCTGAGAATGTGCGGTTAATTCAATGATCACGTGTAAGCTATCTTTTGTTCAGTAAAAATTGACATCAATTTTTCGTTCAGTCATACCCAAATTCTGTCATGGTCACGGAACACATCAAACATTGTTAAGAAGATACGGCACGGGTTTATAAATTACCGTACTATGATAGTGAAATGAAAAATTATAAACAATCAGGGTTGTCCACGACGTATTGGCCCTATAAAGTACTTCTTGTGTATGTGACAACTGACAGGTTTCCTAATAGGAAGGGACATAACCTTAATCGTTAAACCACACGATTTTATCGAGTACGGGAATGTGCGAATATACTTACGTAAAATTTGCATTGAGGCCAGAATCTTTATCGTTGGCTGAGAATGTAGCTAATTTTTCTCCTACAGCAATATTTTCTCTAACATTAACAGTGATAGATGCCTGATCAAATTGGGGGGCATTATCATTGAAATCTTCAACTGTTACTTCAACATAACAAGTATCTGTATGTGAGGGATCAGGATCACTGACAGTTACTGACAGATTAAAACTCCTTTGACTTGGATCTTCATAATCTACAGGCTGAAATATTAATATCATTAAACAATTATACCCCACTTCAATGACAACATCTGTACTATTACATCTCTTTCCTAGCTATCCTAGCTAAGTAATGTGTATGATACCATAATAAACAACCAATTCTTACCTTGTATACAGTTATACTGCCTTCATTAGTGATGACATTGACAGCAAAATGTGCACTATTCAGCGAGTAAGTTAATCTGGCGTTCTCTCCAATATCTTTATCTTTAGCTCGTACCAATGCTATTTCTCCTTGTTCCTGAGCCTCAGACATAGTGACAGAGTAAATTTTTTCAAGAAATTCTGGTTTATGATCATTAATATCTGTTAAAGTGATGGTAATAGTAGCTGTTGTTGTATTGGCATTTGGTCCTAAATCATGAGCTGTAATTTTAAAATTATAAACGGCCACATCTTCCCGGTCCAATTCTTTTGGGGCAGTATTAGTTGTAATCAAACCATTATTATCAATACTAAATTTAATACTAGATGATAAACTAGCTGGTCCTTCTGCTATACCATATGTTACTGTACCATTTTCTCTAAAATCATAATCTCTTGCAATTACAGTCATAACTTGTTCTCCTAGAATATATAATATATAAATATATAATTACCTATCATACCAGTTCAGTATTTAGATTTGGTATATTATCAAACATAACATTAAAATAAATAAAATACATTTAACATAAATAAGGAGATGTTCACATATATCAGTATGATGTCATATAATCAATCAAATAGACTTTCCAATGAATTGCTCATAGACATCTACTGAGAAATCATCATGAAGAGACTGATTTGTATTAAATTTGAATATTTCAACGATTATTTTATTGGATAATTCTTATATGATGCCTTTGTTTTAAATGTGTGACAGAACCACTGTTATTTAGTAAAATTGACCCACTTTTAACACATGTAAAGTAAATAGTTAAGTATGTATATAGTTAAGTATGTATATAGTTAAGTATGTATGCATTTAAAAGGAATTTTAAAATAAAGAACATTCTCTTACCTTTTTCTGAATGTTCAGCTACTGAACCTCTTAAATTGTCAGTAAAGATAGGTTGGTTATCATTAATATCTTTAGGTTTAACTTCAACTGAAGCAAAACCATATTGAGCTGTATCTGGATTCTGTGGTTCATCCATAGCTCGTACATTAAATTGGTATGTAGCACGACCATTGGGTAAATCTCTATCTAATTTACGTAAAAGATATAAATTTCCTGTTTTAGGATCAACTCTAAATAGTTGATCATCACCAGGCATTGTACCAGATCCAAGTAGGGAGTATGTTATTTGATTGGGTCGAGTTTTATCTGCATCAGTAGCAATTACCTACAACATATTCATTTAATTATTAAAACAGCTGAACAACAATATCAAAATCAATTGTCAATTTTTTGTTATCAAATGTACATCTTAGCTGTACACTAAATGTGTCATAATACTTAAAAGTTATAGTTATATATAATTCATTTCTCTATAAGAAATATCAGATAAAGTTTATATAATATCTAGGCATATTTTAAGTTAATATTACTAAATGGAAATCGGTTATAATAATATGTATTTATCAGCAGTAAAGTCAAACTTACCTTGGTTAATAAACGTGGTTGATTTGGACTAATACTTTCATCTTCTTCTACAACATCATCAATAGTGTAGGTCTCTTGATCAAACTCTGGTCTATTATCATTGACATCTTCTACTGATATTATTACTGTAGTTGTATTAGTATATAATCCATCACTAACCATGTACGTTAATGTATACTCCTTTATGATAATAAACAATTTCACATTTAAGTTAAGTTTATCTTATTTCATTTATATAATTATATGAGTTAGGATGGGGGCTATCTAAGAATCCCTCCAGTCCTTGATTTAAGAGGGTACTATAACCATGGTGGGGGATAAGCAGAATATTTTATGAGGTAAGAAGCCGAAGAATACTTCTAACATGATTTTGAAAGTGATTGTATTTTTTGCATTTTTCATGATCTGAAGGGGGTGGGCCAATAAAAAGTATGGCCTAAATACGCAACTGTTTAAACTAATTTGGGAATATAGCCTCAAAATAACTTACAGTTTCACCACTTTCATAATCTAGTTGTCTAGCAACATAAATAATTCCTTTTTTTGTCTGTACACCAAAGGCATTTCTTGTGTTACCGCCAGTTATAGAGTAGACTAAACTATCAGCTGAAAAATGTCATTTTTACTCTACAGTTCATTCATTCATAATTGTCAAAATCCAATTCCTCCTCTCTGAGTATTTGAAACTTTACTTCAGGAGGGTAGTATTAAAATGCATATATATACCTTCACACATTTCTAAGAGAGGGCAGTTTTAAGCTCCTTTTCTAGCTGTTGATTGGATGTTTAGTGACGTCAAATAGACTATTCATTCTTATGATGTTGCCATTTTATCAATGGATGACGTAATTTGCGTGATGAACCTTGCTTCAGTCTAAGAAAACAAGGCTTGAATAAGGTCTATTGGGTCAATGATAAGCTAAATGAAAGAGAAATATTAGATAAGTTGATTCTAAAACATACCAGTATCTGGATCTTTTCCAGTAACTAATATTACACTAGTTCTTATACTAGCGTCTTCCTTTACTGTAGCATTGTACATTTCTTTTTCAAAATATGGTTGATTATCATTTTGATCGGTTATTCTTACTTGAACTGTTGCTATGGCTATGTGTAAATAAAAACAACATTTATTTCTCAAAGACAATTTGAAGGTCAATTCAAGGATGTCCAAAATGTTTTATTTTTGTAGTATGTTTAAATTTGACAGCTGGATATATCATAAATTTAATTTTGCCAATTATGACATTAGTTAAAAGTCTTCAAGATTTGTGACTCAGCAAGATGTCATAATGACATTCTGTAACTTATGTACCCACTAAATAGAATGATAATTATCTTACCCGAATTAGGTGTATTGGCAGGAGTATGACCAGGAGTGTCTGATGCTTTACCATCTTCGGCTTTGACTTCAATAAAATAAAAATTCTTCTGTTCTCTATCAAACTGAGCTGTAGTTGTGATACGAGCAGTATTATCATCTATTTTACTGATGCTAAATAACTGAGATACCCCTTCTTTATATACTAATGAAAATGATAGCTGAAAAAAATATATGAAATTTATAAAATAATACTTTATCTCCATACGAACGAGTTGTCAATTAACTTTCATAAACCATAGCATAATCATGCATAACAAAAAAGACACAATTGTTCTAACAAATTTCACTGTGAAATTTTGAAAAAAATATTTCATAAATTGTAAATAAAAAAATAATTTTGTTTTGAAATGAGAAATCGCCTTAATACAGGAGTCATAGAATTGATCATAAAATCAAATCAATTGATATCGATTATGACACAAACCACTTACCTCATTGTTGGGTGGGAAAACATCATCATCATAAGCTTTAACATCTATTACAGTTTGTCCAGGTGGCATGTTTTCAGCAACACTACCGGGATATATTGAACTATCTTGATTCCGTCCAACAAAATACGGTGCTTTATTGTTCATATCTATAACCTCTATCTTTGGTGAAATTTCACTGGTTGATGGTATAAAGTTATAATTCTGAAATTAAGAAATGTAATCATTATTATTGTAACACAATTATATCATATCTATACATTGGTGGTTCTCAACCTTTATCATAAAATATCCAAATCACATTTTCCATGAAAATGATATCCCCAGATACTAAAAGTAAAACTAGGATTGACACAGTCTCAGGTAGTATAGAGTACAAAATGCTGTAAATAATTCTCCTAGTACTCAATTTTATTTAAACAAATACATAACTTTGACCATTTGGTTATTCATTCATAATCATAATACAACTCACCGTTACTCTTAATCTCAATTCATGTAATGGTTTTACATTATAATCTAAACGGCTGTTTACTTTCAACTGAACTTTGTTGCCTTGAATTTCAAGATAAAACGGATCCAAAACAGCCACAGCATTACCATCTCCATTAATCAAATTAAACAGAACTCGTGGATTACCATCAACATTGGACGAGGCAGCAAATTCAGCTATCATATATCCAAAAGGAACTGTTTCATTTACTTTATAAGGAGTTGAATCATAATCATTTCGATCCCAACTAGGGGGTTTACTTGTTATATTAGCAACTTTGACAGTAACAGAAACATTGGCATTTAATGGGATAATTCCTTTATCTTTAGCCATGACTTGAAGTTGGTATGCAGTATCCTGTATCCAAAAAGAATGAATTCAGTTATTGACAGATAAGATGATATCAATAGTGAAGATTTTGAACTAAGTGGCATTTAGTTTACAAAAACGAAAAAATAAAAATTGGTAGGATATTCCTTAGTTTTCAAATACTGTAGTAATGTGTAACCATCACATATTGTAGAAATTTAAGATTTTGGCAGACCTGAAAGTAATTTGTAGTGCAACAATTTCAAAAATATAGCAATCAAAAGTACGTTGCAATAATAATAACACTGACATCCAAGAATGATAAAAGTTATAACTCACCGTTCCCAAATCCTTATCCAAATAAATAATACCATCATCAATATCAATACGAAACATGTCATTTGGATTAGAAATCAGAGAATATTCAATCTCAGCATTAATTCCTAAATCAGCATCTTCTGCACGAACATTAGCCACTGATCTTCCAACTTCATAATCTTGTACAATATTAACAGTGTAGGAGGGCTGATCAAATACTGGACTATTGTCGTTCACATCACCAATATTGATACTAAATGTACAATAACCTTCTAATGAAGGATTGGCTTGATCATTGCCTTTTATAGTTATAGAATGAGAATGTGTTTTTTCTCTGTCAAATTGTATCAATGAGGTGATATTACCAGTATTAGGATCAATATTAAATTTACGTGTTGTATCAGTAGAAGATCGTAATATACTGTAGGTGACTCTTCCATTTTCTCCTCTATCTTCATCAACAGCATGTACCTACAATAATATATTTCACAATAGCTCATCTTTATTTTTTATATATGTTCAGATATATGTGGTATATTATCTGGCTTTCAAGGCATACATTCAAATACATTATTCTCTACCAAAACTTTTGTTTTCATTGCATTTTGTAAGCTCAAAACAAGCCCTAAGAATTGAGAATTAAACTTGATATAATTTTTCACCTAGATCACCTGTTGTTTAGAAAAACACAGAAAATCATTTGACAGAGTTTAAAATCTTACTTACCTTAATGATCGGAGTGTTCGATGGTGAATTTTCTAACAAACTAGCTTTATTATACTCTGAGCAGTTTGTAAAAGTTGGTTTGTGTTCATTAACATCCACTATTTCTACGTAAATATTGGCCTCACTAGACAGTGTTGTTCCCCCTCCACAACATGATCCATCATCTTTTACTGTGATATTTAATACATACATATTTACATCACTTGGTACTTTTTGTTGTAAACGAATTAAACCAGATTGTGGTACAATAGAGAAGATATAGGACGTCGATTGATCAGCTGAAATTATAACACGGAGAAAATTATTTTTCTCTCAAAAACTAATGGAGAATCATAGTCTGTATTTCATTTAAGATGATATAAGGAAAAATATTTAATATTTTAATTTTTATTAACAAAAAAATGAAGTAAAATATGCAGAAGCCATGCTTCAAATTAGAATGGCAACATATCATGTAGTTTTGAATTTGAAAAAGTATTTAGAAAACACATAAACAAATAATTATTATCAGCTCTTACCAATATACTATTCTGTTTCTGAATAAAATAAAACTTACGAGTAAAAAAGAAGGAGACACGATCACCATCTAAATCAACAGCCTGTATAAATGTCACTACATAATTGATTTCAGCATCTTCTCTGACACTATAGACTGTAGAATTATCAATCTGTATCTCTGGTGGTTCATCATTAACATTAGTAACAATCACACGTACTGACGCAGTACCAGACCTCCTCGGACTACCTGCATCATGGGCATATACCTCAAAACTGTACATGTGACCAACTATACGATCATAATCCAATGGCCTGAAAAATGTTAACAAGTTTCATCACTATACTGATTGATCTTAAAGGAAAACACCTCTCAAAGACTTGTGGAATCAAGAATCATTTAAAAGAAATTCAGGGTTTTTTGAGTCACTTTTTCTTTTAAGAGACATGTATTCTTTTGGGGGTTTGATTTTTATCTTGAATATATGTAAACAGTCTTCAGAAGTACAACAAATGTATGAAATCACATAATTCCTTTAAAAATAGTTCAAACTAGGAATTTTACTAATTATTTCTATATGTCTTTTCTATATATCACAGATTATCTTAAATTGATGAGTTGTTATTTTAACATTCAAATGCGGATAATTCTGGACACACATGTTCTAATTATATGTTTTGTTATATTGAACATAATATATATAAATAAACAACTTACAATATATTTTTAACATGACCTATGATGCCACTGACAGGATCACTGACTGTTTCAACAGTAAAATTACCATCACTAACAGAATAGGTTATTTCTGCATTAGTACCAGAATCATCATCATCGGCTTTCACTAAAATTTACAAAAATAACATTAAGTTGAAACAATTAAAGCTGAATTAATCAACATTCTCAGGTGCAGTTAATATATAAGTATTATTTTAATAATGATCTGGGTATGGCAACAGCCTAACATCCACATAACACATATTTGTTCAGTTGTACAAAAGCCTTAAATCAAATTTCAATTCTAAAAAGTGACACAGATAGCTGAAACTGAGCATATTCTCTCAAATTTAAATACTTTCAAAATAGTTTTCATGTTTTCAGCACTTTACTCAAACCATTACAGATATAAAGTAAACTGTATTTGAATTAAGAATAATTCCAACAGTAAAAGGAGGAAAGGAATATAGCCTCACCTGTCAATATAGTGGAATTAACTCGGTAATTTTCAGGAATAATTCTTTGATAACTTGAATATTCAAAGATTGGTGAGTTATCATTATTATCAATTACTTCCACATTCAACTGAAAATAGAAACAGACAAATTGAGATTGAGGTGTTTTTTAAAGTTTCCCTGAACGCTTCTCTTAATTCAAGATATCAGAAGCTGCTCACTTTTTTCCATGAAATTCAAAAAAAAATTGACTGCTCTTGATATTTTCCCCAAATAAGCCAGCTTTAATAGAAAAGAGAACATAAAATATTTTTTGTCAGGTATCACAATATCTAATATAAAAGTTTTAGTAAGTTATAACAATTATTCATAAATGGTTTACTTTTAATCAATAAGTACACAGCTACATGGTTTATTTAAGGTTAATAATCATTGATATCGTTTAATATATACTCACATCGATAGTGCTGGATAACCCTGTCTCAGATTCAGTAGCTCTGGCTGTTAAACTGTATTTTGGGGGTCGGGAACTCTTAGGTGAAATATCATAGTCAAGATCAGAAGATTGCAGAGTACTAGTAGTTTTGACTACACCAGTTGTACTGTCAATAGTAAAATAGGGGGAGGCTTGCGTACTATTGCCACCTTTCAATAACTGATACGTAATTTCTTTTCCTTGGAAAGATTTGGCTAGGATTTTAAGCTCATTCTGTAAACTGTAATAAAATAATACATTTTAAGTTATCTTTCAATTCATTATGTTAAAACTTAGACAGTTATTTAAGTCTATGACAATTTGCTATCTAACTTTGCACAGTTTCTTGTTTGTTAGTTAAATAAATACTAAATATAATGTTGTTTATTTGATTGTTTTTTAAGAAAAGAAAAGGCTGAACTTCAGAAATATTTTGAAAAACAGTTACTTACAATTGATTAGCTGAACTGTGTTCAGGGATTTTACCAACATAGGAAGATTCATAAAATTGAGGTGGTCGAACACCAACTTTTACTAAAACAGTGGCAGTTGTAACTTGTGTTTCATTTGTGGAATCAGCAGCTGAAATTACCAGCTGATATTCTTCTTTAATAAAATTACCAGCTCCTTGAGTTAATATTTCAGCAACTCTTACATTTCTATTAAGTGCAGTAGAAAAAACGTTCTTAGTGCGAACCTCAAATCTGTTTTCTCCCCCTATTAAAAAAATATAGGACATAGCTCATAATATTGATCATGTATGGTATAGTATAAAGTCAATTTATTATCCTCAAGGAGAGGAAACTACAGGTGAAAAGTGAAATCCTGCTTCCTTAATAATATTATCAGTATATTGAAATATTGTAGCAGGAACACTGTTGATTTTAAGATGCAAAAAAAATATCATGGAATGATTAACACTTCTTTAAACTGCACCACATGGCATGACTTAATCTGGGCTCAAACCTCCTGGTTCTCACCTCTAATACTTACAATGAGCTACATAAAAATGGTCATTAATGTTAGTTTAGTCTGATAATCTCTCACAAAGCTTCCTTTGTAATTGATATCCAGAAATTTACCTGTTAAAAAAGCGTATATCACATCATTTTGGTCTGGATCTTCTGCAAATAGTTCATAAACTTTGACCCCAGAGGCTGCATTAGGTGGAACAGTAGCAAGAAATGGAAATGGTTGGTTTTTGAATACAGGATTTTCATCATTAACATTAGATATCTGTATGGTAACATCTAATACAATCACATCTGAAAGAAGGAATGTATCATTGATAAAAATATTACAACTTTTACATAATACACACTGGATTATGGAATGGAGCTGTTAATTTCATAGATTTATTATGATAGTTGGTAAGCTAACAAAGGAAACCTAAAAAGTTAACAAGTAAATGTCATCTTTTGGATCATGTTAATACAGAATTTTGTAAACGCTTATTGTATTTAATTGAGGCAATAATTTCCAATTTAAAAATTGTAGAGAAAAGTGAAATCAATAAAGATTATAATAATAATACTAGATTTAATTAAGTTTATTGATTTGACCTAGATATGACAAAACGAATATTTCATTTAAGAATATGTTCATATGAAACATTTCAACTATTAACATTTTCAAACTACTGTTTAAAGGCATAGATAATAATTGTCATGTCTCACTGTTTGCATAATAATATGTATATATGTAATTACATATGATGTACCTACAAAAATAAAACAGAACTTGAATCTTGTTGTTATGTAGGGACACAGGCTGAAAATAGGTCAGCTGCCTAAAGATTACACAGCATGATACTCTGATTAACAACATGATTCAAGTTCTGTTTAAATCATTTTAAATCGCTATACACCGCGCTGGAATTATACTGAGCACTATTTTTAATATTTTATTATTGTATGATGTAGTATAATAAAGTCAAGATTAGTAAATTGTTCTGTTTAGTGATTCTAAATGATTCTTTCTTTATATTCAATAACTCCTGTGCATTCATAAGCATATTTCACAGCAAAAAGATAAATCTATGGAAGCATCTAATAATAAATTTCAATTAAAAAGGACATATTTAACAACCTCTAAGAATATTTGTAACAAAGTAAGATATAAAACAACACTGAAGTACATGTATATACCTTCAGATGACAAGAACCTGAGAGAAGTAGAATAACTGTGTCATGTCTTAAGACCAAATCACTTCATTAGACAACAATCATGACAATAACAATAGAAACCTTCAATTCACAACAAAATATCTCTCCCCACAGAGCAGCGATTAGGAGGTCACGACCTTTAACTAGAGAGTATAGTATTGTTAAAAGAATGTAACCCACATGGTATGTAGGATATTTTAGATAAATTACTTTAAACAATAGTTGACCTCCACTTTCAGTCTTATCAGTACCATTATTCAACATTCTATTTATTACGATAAGGGAAATATAACCAGGGAAATTACTTTTCATGGATGATAGCATGTAGCCTAAAAATTTGTATGTTTGTCCTCCTTCAAAAAAAAGATCTTTTGAATACTATCAGTCCTTTCCCTGAAGGTTCTAAGACTAGAATTCAATATGTCACATTTTACATCAAAATCATCAATTGATAACCTACATGATGATGGATGATTAAGATGGATATCAGCTCATGTAAGTCAATTTCTTTATTCCAATAAAATATAAAGAGTTTATGATCTAATTTTGAATAATTGCTTTCAGATAACAAGAACGAATATTTATAGTGACCTATTATTTATCATGAATATATCTATTCCTATTAAAATGAAGTATTGATGATGAATAGAATCAATCAATATATATATATCTATTTATAGACCAAAATGAGATATAATATATCTTTCATAATTTAAATAGCGATAAAAAATCAGCCTGCGAATAGTGTTTGAAATTGAAATTATTCCAAACTTGCTAACTGATAATGGTTTTATATCTGAAACACAGCATGAATCTGTTTTGTAACTTTGTTAACTCACAAATTGTTTTTCATATTGTCTGAACTATTGAATGATTTAAAAATTGTCTCTTAATCTTATTGCTCAACATTTGCTTTTGAGTCACAAATCTTTAGACATTTAGAGAAATAAGGTTGAGTTATCATCAGCAAGATTTCCATTCAGTCAACAAGACAAATAATATGAGGGTAATCATTTCAATGACAATCAAAGAATAACCCTGGGTGATGTATTAGAATATTAAAAGCCATGTCAATCACAGAACAAGTTGAAACCTACTTGAAATTCTGATTACTTGTCATAATTTATTGATTAGTGTACAGATGTCACTGCTTGGTAATTCTTTAACAATAATAACAATGTGGTGACCACAGAACTCTACATATTTAGAATTCAAATCTGGACCATTAAATCAATCTATTATTTGATAATCTCTTTGATCTTCAGGTCTTTGGTTAAAAGTATTGACTATTGTTTTAATACTGGTCATTGTTAATATTACTATTCTTATTAGTGAACATTAGTGTTGAATAGTAACATGTTACTTTTATCAACCGTCCTAAACTCTATTACATTCTTTACAATGATAATAAAATGGAATAAGACACTAGCAAGGCCACATTTGTAAGTGAAGTTTTATCATCTCTGCCAATAGCATGCATATTTCCAAAATTTCATTTGTTAGCAGGAGTAATCAAAAACTGGATAAAATATTTTGAGGAATCAAAAACTGGATAGAATTACTGTCACAAAACTAAGTTTCTTCTTTGAACATAAAACAGATCAATGAGCTTTATCTTTGATAAAACTAATTTTAATCCACGATCAGTATATGTATTTCATTCCATTAAACCACTGTCATATTATTTCAAATAATGACAAAACTTCATTGGCTCAATGTGAAAATTTCAACAATGGAATTTCAAATATTATTCAACAGTCAAAATGTAAAGAATTCCTCTTTCACTGTTTTAATAAAAGATTACAGACCAAAAGATCTCTTTCCATCTTAATCTAAAATCAATTTAATCAAAAACTATTCCCAGGGGCCAAGAATACGGGAAGAATGTCTGAACATTTCTTCACTTCTTCACAAAGGAATCTGACCTCACAATCAACTTTCTTTAGGAGACTCAGTAAACTGGCCAATGTCTGGCCTATTTCTTTAATGAAGTGAAACAGTTCACAAGGCATCAACTATCTCCTTTCTCATTCAAGAAAGAACATTAGAAGACTGGAAAATCATTACAGTTTCTTTTTAAAAAAATAGGGTCTATTTATGGAGAATTGAGTGGTGCAGACCAAAAACTGACATTGAGAAATAGAGAATATAATGAAAGAGCTTATTGTACTGTAAAATAACCATAAAACTAAAAACAGGTTATAAAGAGATGTGTTCAATGAATCATGCAGTAGGAATGTATTCTATGTAAGATATATATAATGATGGTTGAAATCTTGAGGTATTCAGCTTCTATTTAAAATATAAAGATTTGAAACAATAGGATAGTGTGTATGATTACCTTTGAACATTTTAACTTTGGTACTATCAGTCTATTCTTTGGATTTAAAAGTTACATGTTTTTGTTCAAACTTGATCATTGTTCGATCAAGGAACCCATTTTCAAATAATTTTCAAAGAAGCACCAACTTATAACTTTTGAGATAATAGTTTTCATGGTCAAATACATGTTTCTTAATAGTAAAAGAATGAACAGTTTTAGAGACAATACTTTTCATCGCTGAAAACAATCCTCACAATTTCGTAAAGATCTCAAAAGTTACCGAATTTTAACAACAGAAAGAGAACGTATTATTGCAAAAAAGTTTGAGGAGGAGAGGAAAGGATTCCATTCCATCAACAATCTCTATTACCATGACAATAAGAACAGCCAAAGTCTGGACTAACAGTATTAGTGTGAAACTAGTATGATATGACTATAAGTAGAAAAATAAACTAGATCTAAAGTAGAAATCAATATAAATGTACTGTGGGAATTATAATAAACATTAGTATCAATAATTCTACTAGAAAACAAATTAAACATATCATACATGTTTTATATCAGTAGAAAATTAGTTTTCATCATTATTTTATCACTCAAGACCATACAAATATAGTTCTACACCTGATATTGTATGTCAAAACTGACCAATGCCCACTTTGATTTCTAAATTGAATTTTAAATCATTTCACTGATATTCCAATTTCAAAAATTTCAATTGAATTTTAATTTTTTAGAAAGTTTAAGGATCAAAGAAATCAATGTTTATGAATATTAAACTGAAAACAACTGCATTTCAGTCTGAAATTTACCCTCTGTTAAATCATTAGTTCGAAACCCATCCAATACTCTTAAAACAATTCAATTGAAAATGATCTGCACAAACAAATTGTAGATCTTCAGCTTATGATTTGGAAAGACAAGCTCAGTGTGATTCAAAGCAAAAAAATTTTTTTTTAGGTTTATTTTATAGAGAGTTGTTTTGATTCCAGAATTTGTGCTCTTCAGTTTATATGAGGCATTGTAAAAATGATACATGAATGTGTATAATTTAATGGTGAAATGTCAAAAAGGTTAAGAAAGCACAAGATGTACAGCAGATGCATTCAGTATAAAATAGCAGACATAAAAAAGATGTCTTGTTGATCAGTGTACATCTGTTAAAAACACTTCACAAACAAATTGAATGAGTTATTTTTGACCATGGTAGAATGAACCAAAATAAACATTTTACCTAAAAACTTTCATTGTCAAAATTCTACCTGAGTAGCCTGCAATGTTTGTGTTATCATTCAGTGTTTTTTTCTGTTCAAGGAGTAAACGTATATAGCCATTTTAAAACCAGATTTTAGAGTCATGACAAAAATATGTTGATATATGACAAATATTAAAGGGACAGATGCAGCATTTTTGGGAGTGATTGGGACCTTGAATATATGTAAACAGTCTTCAGAACTTCTTAAACTGGACCAATATTGCACAATTCCTTCAAATAAACCTCAAACTTATTTCGTTCACAAGCTTATCTTGAAATTTGGCATAGATTTGTTGATATAGTTTCTGACATCAAGACATCTTCCTTCGCAACTGTGATTAGACGAATGGGACAGGATGACTGAGTCTACTGTATGACAATGACAATGATGACGTCATCAACATATATTCACAATAAAAAGTCTCTTCAAATATAACTTTCCAACATAGATAATTATGAATGCACTTGGATTTGAATGCTCAAAGTAAACTGAAAACACTATTACAGAATAGTTAAGCGGAAAAATTCATGTTTCTCAGACCAAGGTATGATTGACTCCAGGAAATGCCGCAGCTGTCTCTTTAACCAGAGTTCAGTACAAAGTTTCTTAAATATTAGATAGCTTGAATAGTGAACTGCATAATCAGTCTGACAATTAAATAATCTAAGGGTTCAATAGTCAATCCCTCTCTTACTATGAGCTTGAATTAAACTGTTCTATGCAATAAATTTTATGTGTTCATTACATAAATCATATCAATCAAATTATGAGTTTGGACATGAGCATTAAATTAATAATAAGCATCCATAGACAAATGGAATATAAATATACTGAAGTATATAACAGTATATAAAACTGTGAGGTATTGTGAAGAACAATATTTATATGATATTGATTACTGACAAAGTCTAGACTAGACAAGAATTATATTACAATAAATTTACTATTTCAACTTCTACTTAGCCACTAATACAACCACCACTATACTCTCTTAATCACTTTACATAAATCATCCTTGATTGAAAATAATATCCATTACATAATCCTTAAAAGGTAGATATTAGCTTACTTGTAATGTGGGTTGATTTCAGAGAAAATTTGATCCTGTATTGCATGACAAAAATACACCTTCAGACAGAGATGCCTACTTTCTTTGAGTAGGCCAAATCACAAAGCATTTGTGTCACAATTAGCTGTACCTATCTTCTATTGATTGGGCCTACCTTTCTTATTAAAATATACACTTTAGACATCTAAGAATGCAATTGAATTGAATACAAAATCAAATCAAACAACATGTAAACCTATATCTTTTTATATCAAGTTAAAAGAAGGGCTGTATAATAAAAGAAAAATGAAATAAATGGCAGCATATCAATTTTGGGAGTTACTTCATTTCAGTGGCTGGCAACATGTGACATAGTTTCTGACTTGCACTGTACCCACTTGTTCTACTTGTTAAGACATGTCTTCCTTCAGATCAATATTCTTCCAATTCCTTCAACATCAACTACACAAAAAATCAATGAATAATGAAGGCCACATGTGTCAAAGCCGAGCAGGCGTGGAAAGAGTTAAAAATTAGATGTCTGAATTAAGTAAAATTGCGTGATGGTATTGGAAGAGAGGTCATTGTGTTTTTAGGAAAAATAAAGAGGTCTTTGATTAAAAAAAACCTTTCATTTGAAGAAAAACTTAAAGTAGGTATCTTAGGAGAGACATGCAGAGCAGCTGTACCAAATAGCTTTCATCTTAAACCATCAAAACAGAATTATAACAATCTGATCGATATGACAACCCTAATGCCTGTGCTTTCGTAACATTGCTTAACCGCAATGTTACAACCTAAAATTCCTAATGGAAAGAATGAAGCCGTTTTATTCTCAGCATTTCTTACAAACATTAGTCAATTATGCTTTGATAATTTCATTTTGATCTGACTTTCAATGATTATTTGGTGTAAAGAAAGAAGTTAAAACCCTATCTGAACAATGGTAAATACATATATTATCATCATACACTGAACTTAATTTATGTTAATTTGCTACCTGTAAATACTAGCAATATCTGCTCAAGGCAGCAAATTTAATAACACATTTTCAAAGTAAATTTGCACTAAGTCCCAATTAAGCATAAATTTTTAGGTGTAGAACTGCACATGCACACTTGTCTGCACATGTTTAAATTTGATCTCAAAACAAATCTGCTTATAAATGAAATAATACAAATGTGCAAATGTCCCTAAACGGAAGCAATTTTTTATGATAAGCTTATACATTTTGTTTGAAATTGCATAGAATAGGTTGTACAAGGAACTGATCATTATCCACAAGTCATATTGACTTCTGGTTATTGAGGTTCTGGTAGGAGATCAAATTTATTATATGAAATTATGTTATGTGAAAATTAGAATTATAAGTTATATATGGTTGTAATAATTTATAAGATTATGACAAATTGAATTTGATTAATCATATAGACACCTCAGCTCGTTTCTATACTACTCTGTAGAGAAGGAAGGAAGTGTGTATTGTAAGCTATAGATCACTTCATAAGTCGATTCCCAGCTGAGGGCATGTAGCGTCTAACATGTAATGAATCTAACAGACTTAAAGGAGGCGCGTGCCTTCATAATCTTGTGAAAAATGATAGTGTAACACAAGATAATTCTAGTTTTTTAAAAATAACTTTGATGTATTTATAGCCTAACTCTATAGCACACAAAGAAGTTGGTATATAGAAGATTGTACTGGTATATAAGGTATTGGAACACTGGTAAATCCTATTTACAGAATCTATGTCACAGAATATAATGATAAATTTCAATCTTCTGAAAATACTCAATTTAAAACAAACAAATTTTGCTTTAAAAATGAAATGTGAACAAATCATGCACATTTTCTGTTGTTTGAGCTACAGGTCTTTACTTGATACTTGGGAGTCTGTCTATTGTTCCAAGCAATGATATATAACCTTCTAACCCTACCACATCCAGTCAAATTGACACCTTTCCCTAAAACAAATCTGATCTTATCTTATAAATTGTGATGTGAACATGCATGAAGATGGACTAATGTAATAGTCGGGTGGTTCTTCTAGCAAAATTCTAATATGTTTCGGGAATGTATTTTAATTGGCATCATCCTTATCTTAGACTTGGTAGACAAGTAAACATATGACATGTAAAGTTCAAGGAAATAACAATCCCTAGTGATAGTTTTAATTTTAGGGGCCAAGGCTATTTGGACCAGCATTCATAATATTACATCTATAAATTTTAAATCGCAAACAAAATGAGTTTTGGAATCCCCCCCTCCCCTAAATCAGTGTAGGGTCTACTGTTAAGACTATCTAATATAAGCTACTGGCCCAATTCATGTGAATTCAAATTTAGTGTCTAACAGATTCTAAATTTGCTATTCAAGTACAAGCAAGAAAGTTATGGGTCACAGAGCCATACCCTTAATATTACCTGATTGATCTCTTCTACTTGTTGCATTCACAAACAGTTTGATATTTCGCATAGATTCATCTTCATAATCCAATTTATTTCCTTGTCGAACGGCTACATTTCCATCTGCATCCACCGAGAAAAAATTTTGTCTGGAAGAGTCAGCATACAAAAATATCCTCGAATTGGGATTGGTTACTTCATCTCTTAGAGCAAAAATGGGATTTTGTTGTGTCTCCTGGATTGATTTTTCTACAGTTTTTTGTGTCACTTCTCTTTTTAATCTATGTCTACTATGTCTGATGTTAGCATGAAGGGGCTGGTTAGCCTCTTGAAGATATTGTGATTGATGTACGAAGTTATGGCTTGATACAACATGAAGTGAGATGGAATGTAGAATAAAGACACACACTGACAATAATTTGCACTTTTTGGTCGCCATTTTGAAGACGGTTAGGAAAGGTAAGAGTGACAAAATTCACTCTCAGTATCACTCAATAATTTGGTATTTCCTCACCAAAGATGTTTGTAACAATAATTTGTTTAACTTCACTTCATTTTGAAAATATTCTTTAAACCATTTTTGATAAATTCCTTTTTATTCATTCACACATTCCTTGACAAAAACAATTTCACTTTATTAAAGACTGGATAATGAAGACTACAGTAATAGCGTTGAAAATAACCGATTCCAATACACTGTGTACACCGCTACTGTTACGACTCCTGGTTAATACACAGTTTAGTAAATTGTACCCAAATCACTTATTCCTTATCTTAGATTAACCCTCTCCCGAAAATCAATATACTATATCTACCTTAACCCCGTTTCCCCTCACAAAAACTGTCACAACGCGGCTTCCTGTTCTTGAATCCAACCGTCAATGGGGACAAGTTATGGCTGTTCCATTGTCCTCCCTTCAGCAATAATAAAATATTCTTGTGTTTTTAACAGATCGTTTACGGAAATATATTCTAATGTTTTGAAATAATGCTCAATTCATTAACTATTCACAGCCAGAAAAGTAATCATAACGAAAGCATTCAATGTGATTTGATTGTCAAAGTCGTTCCGAGGGAGGGTGTTTAACTGATTGGTAAGCTAATATAAAGGTTGATACGAACCAATAACAGGGCGTGTATTAATGACATGCGCACCTTTACGTGACATACCTTTAAGCTGACACTAACTTTGATCATTGCCGATTTCATTAACAGGAAAAGTAATTTTCGTTTTAAACAGATTTAGAATAATTATTTATTTCCTACAATGCTTATGTAAACTGAATGTGCTTAATATAGTTCAAATGGCTTTTGTTGCCATGAGAAGCGAGATTCTTTGTGTACCTGTAATGCAAGTTGCGACAAAGCCTTTTATTCATATAGGACACATTACGTCAAAATATTGAGTCAATTTTACCTGGACAAAACAATGAATCATACATACTTATTTAGCCTAGGTGTGATCGAATAAAACCTAACGCGAATTTCCATAATGAAGCTTAACAAAATGTTCTAATTTTGTATAACTTGTAACAGGGTCAAAGCAGAATTTGAAAATTGACAAGTGGGTCAAATCTAACTTTGAAAATTTTCAGGATCATTTTCATCTTCACGTTTCTAATTCCAATTCCATAATTATAAAATAATTGAATGAAAAACTATTTGTTATTAAAATACACGGAAAACAGAAAAGAAACTTTCTAGGCCTTACCAATAACACCATGAAATTATTTTTTAACCGACCCAAAATTTCACAGGGAAAATGTCTCTGTCATAAAATATTCCTCTTAAATAAATCATAATTTCTATAAATAGAAGCAATTAATTTATTATCATTAATAGGGAATTGGGGAAATGATCAATTTGGTTAAAATCAGATACTGTGACTCACTCTAGCAATTCCATTGTTTATTAAGATTGTCGAGGTTACAGTGGACGTCTGTTAATATGCATCAGATGTCTGTAGCAGAGAAATTACAAATTTCAATACTTGAGTCTGATTCTCGTTAAGAAGACGGCGGGGATCTGTGTTCTCTGTTATCATCAAATTCTTTGTTCTTGGTTTTATTAGCATTACAGTCTATCAACAACCCCTATTAGGCCTATAGCGTCTTAACACCAAGCATCAAGCGATGAAACATTTTATTTTAAGAGTACCGGTAGGCCAATTAATACAATAATTGATTCGAACCCAGAAACCTTAGAGTTTGTATCTAGAGCAATTATTTATTGTAAACAGTGTATGATGCAGAACAAAAAATTACACTTTGGCGAGGAAAAGATTGCAACTGCACTGGCGGAAGAAGGAAAACATAATTTTATTTAGGTCACATGGACAAGAACTACTTATTTAATGTCTACGTAATGAATTATATAACACAAAGAGTTTAATACGCCATCAAATTGATCATGTTATCTTTAGACCTCGGGGCTTTAACACCACCCCTATAAATTCCCTCTCACATACAATTAAAAAATGTTGAATGCGAGGGTTCAAGTAACAGAAAGGCCCACCAGCTCTGTCTTGACAACAAGGTCTCAACTGAGAGGAATAAAGAGAACTATGCTTGAAGACAGTAATTGTATAAATTGTAGTTCTGTCACATTAATCTCAGTTTTCTGGGCATTTTAACAACTTTCCTTATTGATTAATTAATGTTATCACACACTTAATAATCTAGAAGCAAACCGCAAAACCAAATCTTTGCATATTGATCTAAAGATACCCTCCCCTAAGCAGACATTTCACGTCCTAAGTTTTTAAATTTTAATTGTCGAATCAAATCCAGCACTAAATAACCCCACCAAGTCTAGTCAGGATAATTCTTCTGATAATGACCATTTAATATTAAAAAAAGAGATTTTTCTTCAATCTAATTGAGGAAACTGGGGAACACGGAAAAGGAAATTGTAGAGTGTTATATCCATAGAGTAGAATAGTACAGACAAAATTATATAATTACAATAAATGAGAAATTTGCGTGTAGAAAGTTGATGTTAGACACCATATCAGGCAAAACACAACCGCGACCCTAGTATTGATTTAAAATGTTCACAGGTCGACAAATTGAATTCCTATTACGTTCCCTCATTATATTAGAAGCAATTAGACGTGTCTGTTGTTACATCATTTATAACTTCTTGGTGCCATGTTATTCTTAGAAGTACCAGTGGTCATTAGCATCTTTGATGAGGTCTAAGAAATGTTATTATGTAACCTTTGCCTTACATCTAGAAGTATATTCCCCTAAACGTGACCAACCTTCTAAACTCAGAAATTACCAAAGGTAATTCACGAAAAAGATTCAGTTTACCGAGAATACCGCATATATTTAGATTTGATAAAGGATAACCGTACTCCATTGTTAGCACGGACATATCAAAGTCATGTGTGCAAATTCGTCATAGTTTGTTTTCTGAAATATATTATATTAAACGACTGGTTTATGATATCAGTACTTGAGCAAATGAAAGAAAAACGGAAATATCTTAAAGACTTAGTTTCACTTAGATATAATCTATAAGTTTTTTGCCTCAGATTTAAAAATACAATTTTTTAGGTCACACAGTTATTAAATATTCAAATATATTATTAATATCAATATGTGGCATTTAGGTATGTTTTGTTGTGAATATGACATTAAAATGTTATAAATAACCAGTTGAGATTATTGAAGTGTTATAAATGTGTCACCCTACAAGGTGAATACGACCACTCCTATATAGGCCTAATATATAACCCACTCTACACCTGAACACAGGTAATATGTGACCCAGTATGACTCATCGCTAAAATATTGTCCTTGTCATACTTTTATTATCTATTGATTGTTTATATACCGCTATATATTTATAAATGTGATGATCTATAGATAACATTTAAGTATAAGGGAACCTGGATGGAATTTCGTCAAAAGTTCCAGCTAATTAAGAGGCCAATGACAATTTTATAACAAAAATTATACTAAGCAGTGTTATTTCTTTCCCGAAATATGGTATTACATCATGTTTCACATGGACATATTGGAAGAATCGATGCTCCTGGATTACGGAATACTGTAAGATTTGGACAGGAGATGAGAGTCAAACGACACTGTAAAAGCTTATTAATTCAAAATATATTCAAATGAGTCACTGTGTCTTATAAAATAGTCGGATATTACTCTTAACCCTATTATTTCCCTTTCAATTTCCTCATAATGACACGAGATGACAAGCTGAATGGGCTGATGTCTTCATCTATTGTCATAGGTTATCATTCGTGTAGTTATTGAGGGTAATTATACCCAATCTCATATGAATTTAAAATTTTACACTTTGTGATATATATGAACACATTATAACAAGCTTTGTGTATGCCTAAATTGTTTGACATTGTGAACCCAAAATGTCAAAATAGTGAATGTGAAATGCATGGCATTTGAACCACATACGACAACATATTGAATTAATTGAAATTAAACATAAACATCATAAACATAAGACCCCCAATTAATTGTTATTTTGCTGGTTTTTAGTTTTTTTCTTATTAACGGCGAAGTTTGCTAAGAAAAAATAGAACTAATATTGCATATTGTTTAATCATTAACGAAATAGTACGTGAATAAATATTGTATTTTGTATATTTGTTTTAAAGGGGATTAAGACAGGGTGTAACTTTACGTCTACATCAGTTAATAATCTGTATTGACATTATACTCATGCGATTTATTCTAGATTGAATTAAGCTTGTACAAATGTCAATGAATTTTGATATCACCATGGATTCCATGCATGACTGTCTGATATCACGTTACATTTTTTCTTCTGATGAAAAAGGTACTTTATTTTCTTAGCCCACTCTTAACACTTTCTGGGTTTATCTCTTAAATGTTTTTTTTTATTGTACTGTCAACTATTTATTTATGTATGATTTATGGTTTATCATATTCAACTACCTGGATAACCTTCCATTCATAATTCTATACAATATTTGATAAGCTGATGAAGATAATGTAGTATTGTCGAAACGTTATTGCCCATACAGGAGTATTTCACAACATAACATAATAAAATGATATGATTTAAGTAAATATTTAATGTATAATGTCTAAAACAATACATTACAAACTTCCTTCCTCTACAACATTAACCTAATCTCGATACATACATTCACATACCTCGTACAATCTGCAAACAATCAGTCGGTCGGTATTATGGTTCGTCTGTGAGAGACATACTGCCTAGTTCAGACAGAATAGATCTACCGTTATCTATGAAACAAAGAAAATAACCTTTAACTGGCAGTATACAGATGTTGAAGACTCATTATTTATTAGCTTAATACACCCACAGTGCATCAACAGTGAGCATCTGGATGGTAAATATATTTCCCAAACTTCAAACGTTAGTATTTGGTATCCATGCTGCTGCAGTTAATCGTTAATGATGTTAAGATCG